TTAATAGTGTCTGTTTAGTATATTAAAAAATATATATATTTAGTAGATAATACCGAGATTTAATTAATTGATGTTTTGGGGAGGGGGAAAACAGAGAAAAAAAGTGAAATTTTGTCGGTTTAAAGGAGAGCAGATGTTTAATTTGGTGTTTATTGTATTGTTTTGGTGGGAAATGCAGCAATTTTATTGGTAAACAATTGAATGCTATAAGGGAAATAGAAATTTTACTGTTTGTTTGTTTGTTTATAATACCATAAATGAGATTCAAATTTATCATTCAAAGTTATACTTATGCTGGGTTGTTGGCTATTTGCTGCTTGGATGAATGATTTTTCTTCTTTTTTTTTTCCTTCTATGGTTTGGCTACATGGTCAAAATTTGATTTTAACAGGTTTTAAACGAGTTCGAGATGATTTTAGTTTTTAAGTAAGTTTGTTGTCGATATAAGCATAGCTTAGAACATTTACTCATTCTTTTGAAGTTTGAGGATCACGTTTGTTTGCTCCCTGTGTTGTTGTTCCTTCCCCTGATAACTCTGGTTCTTCTTTGGCCATCTCTTCCCCGTAACGCATAAGCTCTGTAGCTTTGCTTCCATTGTCTCCATTTCATCTCTTCCTTTGATTTTTTTTCCCTTTGTTTTTTTTTTTGTCACTTTCTTTGATTGGGGATAGGAGGAATCACATTGGCCAAGTGGGAGATTGAAACAGCTGTACTGTCTAAAATTTGATAATCTTGAGTTAGCTTGTATTTGAAAATTTCCGACCAGCCAACCGTCTTCCATTTGTTGAGTTCGATACGAACACATATTAGTTGAACTGAAATTGACAAATGACTTTTTGTAGTTTCTAAAATTTAGCCTTTTTTTGAAAATGTTTATCAAAATTTAGAAACGAGAAAACGGAATGGGTTATCAAACATGTTTGTTTCTCATTTTTTTGAGAAATAGGATAAAAAATAAAAAATTGAAATGTTACCAAATGAATCTTAACTTACTCACTCGTTCTTGCTTTATGATCTCTTCAAAGTTGATGGTGGATATTTAAGAGACCTTTGGTTTACGTGTTTGAATTTTGATTGGTTAGGTCTTTGCTTACTTTCTGAATTCACATGAAAAGAAAACAAGACGTGATTGAACTAGTTTTCGATTTATTGAAAATGAGAAACAAAATTGAAGTCAACTATGGATGCTTTTGAGTTAGATTGACATATATGGCAAATCAATCTTCGCTTCATTGCTAGTAGAATTCAAAATCTCAAAAGACTAGAAGCAAACTACTTTAGGACCCAATTCATTTTGAGATGGTCAATTTGTTCTATGGAGGTATTAGAGGAAGGAGTAGAGAAGTGAGGAATGTCGAGGGAGACGAACTAAACAGGAATAAGTGTTGCAATTTTTTAACTTCTGACAAATTATATTCTAACGTAGATTTAATGAAATTACAAAATAGTGGTTTAGTATGAAATTGATGAGATTTAGAGTGAAGCCAGCTAAGCTTGTTGTTGAAATTTATGGACTTTGAAAGATTTAATGGCCATTCTTGTGCATTGATCATGCTTATTTTTTTTTTATGATAGTTTATTTGTGCTGAAATTAGTGAATTTTAAAATTAGCTTTTTGTTAAAATTAGTGAGTGAATGTAGTGAAAGTTGTATAAAACATATCTAAGTCTAAAGTTCTAACCAGAGGAAATTAAAAATTTATGGAAAAGATTTGATTAATCTAGTCAAGTTCAAGAGATAAAATCAATATTTTCCTCGTGTATCGTCAGTTAAAGGAAAATAACATCAAATAAATAAAAATTCTATACAAGTTGGAACTCTAAATAAATAAATAAATAAATATATATATATATATATATATATATATATGTATATGTATATATAAAGTATATTCGACACCTTTCCACTGTCAGGAATAAATATTGTCAAAAAAAAAATGTATATTTAACATTTTTTAAGTGTCAAATATGTACCAAGGGAAATAGTTTATTATTATTTTAGTTTTAAAAATTGTGATAAGCATGATAATATCAATAAAAATAGCATGAAATTAATAAATATACATATATCAAGAAAATGAAAATTTAAAACTTCCAATTAACACTTTTGGAAGTGAAATAAAACAATTTCAACAAAAGACTAACAAGAAACCCCTTTTACGTCAAAACTCAAAAAGAAGTCTATTATAATAAATCTGTAAGTATCACATTTTTTAAAATAAAAGTTCATCCATCATTGCTTTTTCTTTAAATATTAGAGTAAAGTAAATTAATTAAATTGTTGAAGACATTAGTTTACCTGCTCTGCCACCGCCCAAAAAGAAGCAAGCAAAGTAGAGTAGGTAAAGAAATAAAATAAAGAGGAGGTTATTTTTAGCATAAAAAAGTCTTTTGTCGCGACAAAAAATACTTTTCACTCAATAATCATGATTTTCAACTGATCTAAAGTGTTTTTGGAAAAAGTCAAAGTAGTGTGAGAAAGCACGCGAAGAGTACATTTGACCAAATATTTAAGTACGTTGTGGGAATTGAACTCATGACTTCTTAGGGACATTTTGACGAAATATTTAATGGGGAGTAGTTCAAAATTATTTTTATGGGTATTGAATCAAACATCAAAATAATCTAGTAAAAAGGTCGGAGATTTAAATCTCCGCCTATTTGTTTGTTAGACTCAAAAAAGTAAATTAACTTCTACTTGCACTCAAACACAAAGCCAACCAGAAAAAACAAACACAAACAAACAAAAAGAGAGAAGGGTAAATGAAATCATGCCAAATTTATTTGATAAACTGTTCTCACTTGACCTGTTTAGTTGTTCAGGTAATGGCAATATGATTTGTGGAGAACACAACTTATTCAGGAAGGGAACTTTGATTAAGAACAGGACATGGGATAAAAGCTTTAAAGCTTGAAACTTAACAAGTCAACATTTCTACATTGCAAGAATCAGGGGATTTGGATCACCTCGTAACTGTGCGAGATCCGAATCGGTGTTTGCTTAGACACGGGTCTCTGTTCCGACCATAGCTCCAGGTTGACTGTTCCAGTTCCCCAGTGGATGAAACTCTTATAAACCTCCTTAATGTTAAATTTGTTGACTAATGCCAATCCCAGACATTTATCAACCAGCTTCCACTCACCTGGAATGTTCATTACAGTGAGAATTTGACTTTTCTTTAGCAAGAAAGAGACTCTAAGGTTAAGAACACATAAGAGTTCTTTCAGATCATATTGAACAGAGCTACTTTTCTGTGATAAGTTAGAGAAAATGATTACCATTAGGTAAAAGATCTCCTTCAAAAAACTGTTCCCCAGACTCTGGCCAGATTTCATGCACAGATCCGTTAATGGATGTGAATGAGATAAAAGATTCCGTGGGATGTAAAAGGTTAAACATTGGGTGGACCCTTAAGCAAACCAACCTGCAAAAAAAATATCCAAATATATATAATTGGACAAATAAATAGATCTCTTCAACTTTTCAAACTTGTACTCTTCCAAACATCCAATTTTCTATCAATGGTTGATGAAAATATCTCACAAAGTTGAGGATAAAGTATAGCATATAGTAATATTTGAGGGGGAAAACCTTGAGAATCCACCAGAACCAGCACCTACTTTAACAGCTATAATGCTGGAGTTAATCTGAAGTACTCTAGCATAATCCTTTGGAATGTATATTTTTCGTCTTAGAGCTAACCCTCCATCAATATCACCTTCCAATTCAAGAGATTCCTCATCGCCTGCATGCTCGAAGTTCCGACTGAAAGAACAGTAGTACAATAAATCGAACCGTTTTATATCAAATAATAAGAAAGGGAAAGCACTAGTTATTTCAAAATTTTGATTTCTGACCCACGGCTATGCCGCAGTTTCTCATTGTCATTTTAAATGATCTATTTCCATTCAGGTGAGGAGTAGGATGTGCATTATAATGGTACATCTGAAATCTTGAATAGCTTGACTTGTGATGTAGTTTCAGACACCAGCCAAGCAGCAGATATAACTAGAGTCTCAAAAACTGGCAGTCCAATGCTATTTAATAAAATTTAAGAGAAAGTTTCATGTACCTGGCTCAATTTATTAGTTTCAACTGTAAACTTGAATAAGCAGAGCAATTAATACCTTCAATTTGTCAAAGTTTATCTTCTATAAAAATCTGTGGCTAGCTATGAAAACTTCGGTTCACCAAAACTATTTCTGTGGGAACTAATAATTCTGGTAGCTTAGTTCCAACGTTTTATCGTTCAGTTTCAGCATTTTTCTGCCTACTTAAATTTGTTGTTAGGTTAGAGTATCTTTATACTTCAACTTGGATATTTATGTAGCTTTATCTTGAGCATTTTATTGGTTGGATTTTGTGTGATTTATTGGTTGACTCGAGAGCAATTTTCTAATTCAGTTTTGACGATGTATTAATTGCATAAGTTACTCAAGCTTAGCGTTAATTGGATGAAATTGAAAGTTTAGGTCAAATGACTAGTATAGAAAATGAAACTTCCTAAACGTAGATACCGGTTACAGAATGACGTAATGAAGTTATTCAAGCATAGGTTGGGGAATTTACTCAATGATGCTATATTCCTCGGTACATCCAGCAGATAGGTACTCTGTACCACTAAACTCTTCATAACCATTAATATCAATCTTGCTTTGGAGCCATTGTATACCTGAGCACTCACAGAAATAGATATAAGAAACACCATCATTATAATAATTTTTTAGCGAAAGAAACCATCATTATAATAATGATTAGTCTAAAATATAAATGACAATCTCATAATTATTAGAACAAATGTTGTTAGATCAAAGCAAAGCTATAATATAAAGATAACCATCACAGTGGTCTTCCTTGAAATCATGTAATTGTTTGCAACCATACTAAGACTCCGCCACTTGGGATTATGCATTCCATTTCTAGGCATGGGAAATGGATGGTGATCAGCTGATATGCAAGGGTAGTTAAGGAAATTTGTAAATTAAAGATAGATGGAATTAATGAAAAATAATAGTTAGTTATAGGAGTTTAAGACATGAGAAAAGTACTAGAGTTGCTTGGGGAGGGAAAAAAATACATCTCTGCAGGTGGGAAGTAGGTTAGATTCTTAGTAAACAACCAGCTAATCTTAGCTAGAGGGAGAGTAAAAAATCTCGAGGCTTTCTGATTCCTCGATGCTGCCTCTTTGAGGGTAGTTTTCAATTTTCATTAAGCTATCTTCAATTTGTCTATCCTATCCTTCTAATTTTCACCACTAGAGCGTATAGTATAACACAGCGTAAGAGAACTTTATATTGACTGACAATTAGTGTGCATTAAATCACAATCAAAACTTCCTAGTTTTGAGACACAAAAATTTACAGAATTCATGACCATACTAAATATGAAATTATAAATAAATCATGCGAATGTCGTTATATACGCTAGCATCACGAGGAGGAGGGTATCCTTTTGGCATTTTGGTGGGTCAGGTATTAGGAGAGATCAGGGAGCTCTCAAATTATCCCGACATTTACCATATCTAAATTATCAATAATGGAAGTGGGTTCTATCATATACCCAAGTACTGATAGTTTCTCTTCTCTGTGAATCAACAGTTCTATACATTATTATCAACAAAAACTGGGCCCTCAAGAATTTATATCCATTGAAATTTGAACAGAAAAATTACAAAACCAGACCCAACCTCATCAGTCTGCCAGCTTTACGCAACCCGCCAGCTTCTCTGGGTCAAGTTGCGTTCTGTAGTAGTAGGTCCAACACCACAACCTCGTATGATTAAACACCTTTATCTTTCCCTACATCTAAATCTATCAATGTAACAATTTTTCTCTCTCATCTCACCCAACCTATAACTTATTTGAGTCAAGCTAAGAAAAAATTATTGAATGAGGTCGCTGCAGTGTGGCTACTTCTAATGATGGATGCAAATCTAAAATCTATACACCTCTAGTAACCATTAGATAAAGATTTGAAATACATTTTGTAATTTCTCTCTCAAACATTCTCGTTAACTGGAAAGAGGTGTCTAAGCCACTGGAAGTGGGTGTCCTGGGCATTGGGAATTTGAGGCTTAGGAACGAGGCTTTATTGGCTAAATGATTGTGGCGTTTCTTCCATGAATCTAATGCCTTGTAGCGAAGGATTATCGTGAGCAAGTATGGGCTGCATCCGTTTGATTAGATTCTGGTAGGTGGGTCTAGTGAGCAACTACAATCCTTGGAAGGCTATTGCTTTGTGTTTTCCTGTTTTCTCTCAATCCTTACGTTATGTTGTGAGGGAGGGTCTTAATACTTACTCCTGGGAGGAAACTTGGGTAGGAGATAAACCTATGTGCCTTGCGTTCCCTCAGATTTACTATCTTTCATAAAAGAAGCTTCTTTCAGTGGCTGAGATTATGAGTCCTAAGGGGGGTGGTTCCATCCTTTTCTTTGGGGCTTACTCGTTCCTTGATAGATCGTGAAACTTTAGAGGTTTCCACGTCTGTTGTCCGAAGTTTCCTTCTATTCTAGGAGGGAGGATGTGAGGGTGTGGACCCCAACCCTTCGAAAGGTTTTTCTTGTAGCTCCTTCTTCCATATCCTGAACTCCCCGTCTTCTCCTTCTTCTTCTTCCCCATCAACCCCTTGGTTCACCTTTCTTTGGAAGATTAAAATTCCAAAGAAGATTAAGTTCTTTGGGTGGCAAGTCTTTCCTGGAAAAGTCAATAACATGGATCGTATTAAGAGGATATCTTCCTTTTGTCTAGGTCCGCAGTGGTGTGTTATCTGTAGGAGTGCCTCGGAGGACCTCGAGCATTTGTTGTGGACCTGTCACTTCGCGCAGGATTTATGGCTTCGGTTCTTCAGATGTTTTGAATAGTGTGGGTCCGTTCTAGAGTGTATAGGGTGATGATGGAGGAAGTGCTGTTATTCCCCCTTTTCATGACAGGGGTCGTTTTTTGTGGCAAACGTGTTTTCTGGCTACTTTATGGGGTATTTTGCTGAAGAGAACAGTAGATTGTTTAGGGGTAGAAAAAACTGTGGATTATGTTTGGGATCTCATTAGATTTAATACTTCTTTATGGGGATCGATCACTAAGGCTTTTTGTAATTATCAGTTAGGCATCATTCTTTTGGATTGGAGCCTTTTATTTAGGGGGTTACCTCTTGCAGGGCTATTTTTTTCTATGCCCTTCTTGTTTTTGTATCTTTTTTCATTCTTCTCAATGAAAGCATAGTTTCTTATTAAAAAAACATTCAACAGATAAACTACCAGCCACGGCATAGTAGCCTCCACCAATAATTTATCAAGGTTGAGTTTGTTTGTAATTGCAATTGAAACGCCACAAGCATCTATTCTAGCCCTATACCTACCCTGAATTACCCTTCCTCCATATGTTACTTCAGAAAATATCTCTCTCTCTACCTTACTCCCTAGAAAAGAAAAGTACTTGCAGTATCATAATGGCTGAAAACAAAAAGATAATGGAAAAGAAGCAGAGAATTTAAATTCTGAATGATAGAGTCTTAGACAGAACAGAAAATCCTGACTGCACCTTGCCGAGAATCATCAGGAGTAAGGTTATTAGCTAGATGCTCCTATAATTGAGAGAACGAGTCCAATTTGAGATATGTCAATTGGACATGGAACATAAATTTTTTAGAAGAGAATGAAACCACAATGAAAGTGAAGTGAATAATATGGCTATCAGCCTAAAATTATTATCTTCACCAATTACTATGGTGAGACTTCAAAGAACAGGTTCTAGTTCCTTACTTCGAGAGCATCATTCCTTAGTGTTAGAATCCATATAAATGAACTAAATTTACCCAACCCATCAGCTTAAGCTTTTGGGTTGAGCGGTGGTTTATTCATTCTTAAGATGGTATCAGAGCGGGAGGTCCTATGTTCGAACCCCTACATTATCGTTTCTTCCCCATTTATTATTATTTCCACTTGTTGGGTCTTGATGTTTTCCAAGCCCACAAGTGAGGGGGAGTGTTAGAATCCATATAAATGAATTAAATTTACCCAACCCATCAGCTTAAGCTTTTGGGTTGAGTGGTGGTTTATTCATTCTTAAGACTTAGTTTGCCAACAATTTATTTATACACGAAGGACAAAGGATGACAAGGGACAAAGTGTGACAGGTAGTGGGAGTGCATTTTTTGTACTGGTCCCCCTTTGCATCCTTGAACCGAAAACCATATTTCGACTAACCTAGCATTCTCCATCCTTCATTCAATTCTTTCGAAATCATTGGCTCCTTAGGGTTTTGTGCCCATTAGGGTTTTGATGCCCATTAGGGTTTTGCGCCCATTAGGGTTTTGCGCCATTAGGGTTTTGTGCCCATTAGGGTTTTGTGCCTTAGGGTTTTTTGTTCATTGCTATCCAACACCACCACCGCCGACCGCCGCCGCCGCCGACCGCCGCCTGTTTTGTTTGGTTCAAGTGGTTTGATTTGGTTCTGTCGTTTTGTTCAAATAAGTTCGCTTGTTTGTTATGGCTGAGAAGAAATCAATCGTAACTTCTGAGGTGATCCCAATGATATCAAAAAATCACAGAACACAAGTTGAATGGATCAAACTATTCTTCATGGAAAATCAATTTTCGTCTTTTTTTGCGAAGTATTGATATGGACGATCACATAACTGAGGATCCGCCTAAGGATGAGAGCAAGAAAGCTTGGTTACAGGATGATGCTCGACTGGTTCTGCAGATCAAGAATTCGATCGAGTGCTGAATCAGAATATAGAGCTATGGCACAGTCGGTGTGTGAATTAGTACGTGAGGGAAGAGCCCCTGCACAGGCATTCTATTATTTTGGTATTTTCTGGACTTAGAATTTGTTCCGAGGAAGAGAGATCCTGGCCTCTCAAAGAGCTAGGGAACTTTTTTGGCTGTTTTACTAGTGGAATTTGCTGAGATAGGTCATCTGAGACCTATAACATGCCCCATTACATTAAAAGAAAAGTAATATCGATTACGTTGTCTGAATTACTTAAAAAAATATTAGAACAATGATAAAGTTATTACCTGAAGGAAGGTGTGTCATGGAAACTATTCTCCCCCCAATCCAGGGAATGACTTTAACAGACCAATGGGCACCTTTCAGTTCAACAGGAATCTTTGAAAGTGCCACTCCCTTGTGTTCAGGAACATCTTCGACATCTGGCAAAGTCTTAGCAATTTCTACACGACAGTCATTGAATAATAAATCATAAGTAAGAATGGAGATAAATGAAACTCAAGAATGCATTAATTGTTAACTGTCAACTATGTTAGCCGAAACATTGCCCAACAAGAACTGTCTACATCCTACGATCCTAAAAATTTAAACTCTTTTGAATTAATTAACATTAAGAAGACAGCTTTTCTCAGTGCAATGCAAGCTGCAGTTAGAGAACCAAATAAATGTTAAGACACTAGGAAAAGGTCCGAGAACAAATTTTAAAGCTTAGACTAAGTGTATTGAGCCTAAACACAGAAATAGGAATATAGGAGAAAATGTCTCATAATTTATAGTACATGTAAAATCGTTGACCATTTTTCCCTTGATAATTGAGGTGTTCAATCTAGCTCTTGTGCACTTTGGCTAATCCAATAGGACAACTACTCGATCTTACAACATTCAGCATCAAAAAATTTCAAAAAATTCAAAATTATATATTCTAGGGAGGGGGTAAACGTAGTTGGAACAATGACCTTAAAACTATCTGAGTGTATAATTAGTCTTTTGACCATTGGACCTATTCATGGTGGTTTAATAATATGTCGGCAAAACTAAAGAATATAAGTGAAAAAATAAACAACAAATCTATAGTAGAACATGGCTAGATCCCATATATAGGCCTATTGATCTGTTAAAAGTAAAACATCAAGATGGAGGAGAAATTTGTCTGGCCCAATTTTTTTTCAAGATTCAGATAGACCTTGGCAAGAAATTTGGCATTTCGTGGTTCTTGTCCCTTCCTTTTGAAGGGTTCTGTCTAATTCTTTTGTAATTATGATTTTCCTTGCATCATGGCCAATTGGATAAGTTTTGTAACTCCTTGGTCGTGTTTGGGGCATTTTCTCCATTTTGTATATCACATTCATTTATGAAATTTTCTTTCCCATATAAAAACTATATGTTGAAACATAAGCCAGAAGAGAACAAGACAGGAGCAGCACTACTACCTAATCGATGATGATATTCCTTCTCGCTGATGGCTACCAGGTCAGCCACTTGTTGTTCAGAGGGTAAAGTCACTTGCAAAACATCACCATCTATGCCCCAAGCCTCAATCTGGAGGTATAGAGAATTAGAATATGAATCTTACATAGAGCCCAGGGGACCTCAATTAATGTCCACTAACAAAAACAATATACCTTGGCCCCTCCACCAAGTAATATTTGAACATGTAGATGCCGTTTTGGCCTTGTCCATGATCCTTCAGTTCTCGAAACTTGAACAGTAACAACCGAAGATTCTAGTTCTGCAACATAATGTGTCAATAGGTATGCACCTAAGCTGAAACCGTATCCATCACCATCATCTTCAAATAGGACACCCTTAGCCTTTCCTGTAAATAAGATTGAAAATTATTAAACTTCCATCAGAAAAGAGATGCCAAGATATGCTGATTCTGCCTTGTAAAAGCACCCAAATCCAGAGATATTCTACAATTTCTCTAAATTATAAACAAAAACTTTCATATTTTTAGTCTGGCATAGAATGAAGACTATCCTAGAGTGGGCTTCAAGTAATAAATGGTCCTCATTACTAAATCAGTCTACACTTTTCAAGTGAAGAAAAATGGAACTCATTACACAGATAAGAATATAACTATTTGCGCGTCAGACAAAGAACAATAACATCACCATTTTCATCCAAAGCCACGAGAAGAGAAATGTCATCAGATGGATTTGCCTCTCCAGTATGCTGATGAGGAGGACCTAGAGGAACAATTGATCCACCTTGCAAAAATAAGGCTGGTAGATCCTGAAATGGCCCAATCAAAACACATGCAAAAAGATAAGGAAAGAAAGATAGAAACAAAGCAATTAGATCAGCAAGCAGAACTTACCGGATGCGAGTCATCAAAATCAAATCTCAACCAAACTCCCTTGGGCAATGTAAAATTTAAATTGTGCATCCCTTGATTGGGCAAAGTGCTGTTCAAGAACTAGTGTTAGCACAAAATAATTGGATTGATACTCCACCAACCCCCTACTTAACCATTGATGTCCAAAAATTACCCAGAAGCCAATATTTAATAAAAGAAACAAGAACCTTGAATAGATTAAAATTGAACCGAGAAGAAAAGAATTTTCAATTTTCCTCAATTTGGGATCTCTTGAATCTGCAAAATGTTAAAATCAAAGTAAAAAAAAAAAAAAGAACTAGGATGATCAAGAAAACATATAAAAAAAAGATAAGTATGAGAATCCACCAGCGAAAAAAACAGGAGTTGCAACAGGAACACCAGTCGTATGAGCCATATAGAAAAGAGTGTATATATGTGGTAATAGGCGGTAGCGTCTCTTCAATGCTAGGCGGCAGACTTCTTCACACTAACAAAGGATCAAAGTTAACATTCAAATCATTTGAGTATATCAGAAAGAGTCGATAATATAAAAATTGAAACCTACCAGCTAATTAAACAATTAGCAATATTACAACCTATAACCCATGAAAATAAAGGTATTCATCACACTTAGTCATTTTATGGAGTGAGGTCCAAGTAATTACACACCCAATCTTCTGGACAAAAATGATCTTTCTCATAAATATTACAAACCTCTTCTCCAAATGACCATGGTTCATGGTCAGCAGTGCTGGTTTCAGAATGCCCACGGCAGAAAGGAAACAGAGCACCAATTCCCATCCACCTTCCAAAAAGCTTAGGTGTTGCATTTCCAGCAAAGCCACCAATATCAGGTCCAGATAGTGGCTGACCACTGAGTCCCTGAAGAACAGGGAGTGAGGCTAGTGAAGGAAATGAGATTATGAATAATACCTATTAAATTATGTAGGTAGTTAAATTATATTCAATCCTATTGGATATGCTTTGAACACCATGTCAGCCATTTCTCTCCTATCAAACCCATAATCAACCCTTTTATCTTAGAAACACGTAATGAAAATAGGAACCAGAGAAATATATTGATAAGGAAAGAAAAACAAAAGGATAAGTATCAAGTAATTCGAGTTAGGAGGACCCCTCCTCTACTGAGTATTCTTACTCAAGCCTAAACCTCACTAAACAATTCTACCTTCATCCCTTTCCCCTCACTTTATTTATAACAAATTCCTTCTAACCCTACAACATTTGGTGTCGGAAAACACATAGGAATTACTAGTTCCTAAGTTAGGTGACCGTCATGAGGTTTGAACTCATTCCCTCTCAATTAAAAATAGCCCATTTGAACCAATGAGCCACTGATGATGGTTTACCCTTATTATTCTATTAATATCCCTAATTACCCAAAAGCATTCCTATCAAAAATATGGTCACATGCATCCATGCCAGCTGATTCTTCCACCAACGCAAACTACTTTTGGCTACTCAATTAACTAAGGTTAGGTAGATTGCAACCATTGGAAAAGAAGTAAAGGAAAAAAAAAAGGGTCTTATTTTAGCAAAAACTATTATGACATATGCAAATAGAAGAGGAAAATTTGCATAGATGATAAAAATACTAACTACTTGTAACAGTGTTTTATTCTACAAATTGATTGATAATCTAGGATATCATCTTCTTGGTTGACATATTTTCACATCCACTTCTAAGTGAATATAACCAATATGAATATTTAATAATGAAGTACAACGTGTTGTATCGTAGGCTCAATTCAAAATACTACTCCAATTGCTACTTACCAACTGAAGTACCATGGAGATACTCATGTGAAGATGATCCCAGCTTGAAAGGTTATCACCTGTCCATGTGGCAGCATATCTTTGGCTACCAATAAAACCAGCCCTAGTGAGAACAAAAGGACGCCTATCACTCTTAGCCAATTTCATGCCTTCATATGTTGACTTAGCCATCAACATTCCATACACCTGAAGTAGGCAACCAGTGTTATTTATGGCTAAATAAACATTAGATGGCATGTTGTACATCGTGAAGCAGAGTTTTCAAACCACATTTAGGAATGCTTTGGGTATATTCTGGCCAAAATATTTACGAGAAAATAGTTTTGAAGTGTGTATGGAAAATATTGGTTCAAGGTTATGCTATGGAAAATATTGGTTCAAGGTTATGCTAGGGACTATACATTGTGATAGTAAGAATGATTCTGGCAACCACCGAATTCTTCGTCACCTCTGTGAATGTTGCTCTCGGGCATCGTTTTTGTGACAGCCTGAAGAAAAGTGATAAGGTTAACTGGCAATTACTAACAAAAATGCAAGCACTGATTTGGGAGGGAAAAAAAAAGAATATACATGTAAAATTACCTTGAAAATAGCTGGTTCATTCATGTCATTCCATATACCATCGACACCATTAGAAACAAAATCCTTGACTAAATTTGCCCACCAAGATCGAGCTTTAGCTTGTGTAAAGTCAGGAAAAACGCAAGGCCCAGGCCAGACCTCACCTAAGACAATTAAGAATTGGTTTTACCATCCAAATACCACAATTTAAGTGCCAATAACAAGATGACACTTACCTACGTAATGATCTCCATCAGCTTTTTGGACCCAGATATCTTTTTCAGAACCACTGTCATAGACAAAATAACCCTTTTCATGTTTGATTCCAGGATCAAGCATCCAAATAGCTTTAAAACCAATTTGGTGAAGCTCATTCACCAAAGTTTTTGGATCAGCAAAACGTTCCTGAGATAGTATCACTATTATTTATTCTCCATGTCACTGCAATATTTTATGTCCTTGATTCAAACTATTTATTTTACTAGAACATAATAAGTACTAAAGATGTTATAATTAAGTCTTTTTTTTTCATTTTTTGGATAAGAGATGATTTCATTGAATCAATGAAATACAAAAGCACAAAACGATGCCAAAGAAATACGTAAAAGCTTCCCAATTAGAATGTATAGGAAAGATATGATAGCTAAGTTAAAACCCCAAAAAGGGAGAGATATGCATGTGAAGAACCATTTACACATATGATCTCATTCAAGATGACTAAAAGAGAGTGGCCTTTGATGGAGATCAGTTAGAGACTGACATACGGGGTCGAAAGTGAAACAACGGAAACCGTCCATGTAGTCTATATCCATCCATATAACATCACAGGGTATATCTTTCTCTCGGAATGTTCTCGAAACCTACAAAAGTAGTTTGCTTATAAATTAGAAAAATAAGCCAATTAGCCATTGAACTATTCCTTATAGGGCCTGGAATAGACTAAATTCTAACTAAAAATGGTAAGTACATTGAATTTTGCATAATCAGGAATATAAAATGCAAGATAAATTCAGCATTACTAACTACCTCAAGTACTCTATCAGCAGAATCATAGCTCCAACGGCATTGGTGGTAGCCTAAGGCCCATTTTGGGGGCATAAACACAGTTCCTAGTGGGAAAATAACCAGTTAAAGCTTAAAGCAAAAGCAGCAGGTTTTTAAACACACATGCCCGCACACACTTAAAAATTTAAAATCCCAGTAATAGATAATGATGACTCAATTTTCACAATCAAATTTATGGGCAATAATTACATTAACCAAAAGTTAAAGATAATTAGGTGGTTCTTTTGATGTCAGAAGGAAGAGAATCAGCTCGTTAGCTTTATTTAGATTTTTTTTTTTAACCTTAGAAACAGACATGGGACTAAGAGTCCTACAAATGGAATCCAGATCTCATCTCAATGATTGATTCTAACAGCAAAGGTGTCGATTAGATTTGGGAGCTAGTAGAACAAACATAGGAAATAGTAGAATTTTTAGCAGTGGAGAGGTCTTGGGGAAACTTTGGGAGCTAGTTAGATTTAATACCTTTATGCGTGGGTGTCGGTTTCTAAGGCTTTTTGCAATTACCAGTTAGGTGTCATTTTTTGGATTGTGGTCTCCTCTTATTTGTTGGTCCCCTTTTGGCGAACTTATTTTTGTATGTCCCTTGTATATTCTTTCATTTTTCCTCAATGAAAACTTGGTTTCTTAGAGATAAGAAACAGTAAGGGTAGTGCATCTTAGCAGCATTTGCAGAAAAATGGTACAGACTCAACAAGTATGAACTTGTTAGATTACCATAAATTGCAAGAGTTTATATTTTTATGTTACGCTTAATTTAACACTTCCAATTACTTATAATCACGAACTTTGCAACTACAAGGGGTTACTTAATCCATGTGGTTGAATCCAAATGCCTTTACCCACATACTCAACATAAAGTACGTTTCCATTTTGAAGAAAAGTAGGCTCTCATCAAGTGATCAGATCAGATCAATGAGTAGTCATTTAGTAACAGTAGATGATTCCACAAAATCTAAAAGGAAAAAAGAAAAGAAAATTAGACTAATACAATGTTACAGAAAACAGATTAATTCCTGTAGTTAATGAAATCACTCCTCCCTACAAATCAAGCATCAAAGAAAAATTGAGAGTGCAACTCGTAAACGATTTCTTACATCCTATTTTGGTTTAGCATGAGTTGGATCTCAGTAGACATGGAAATATTATGAGTTTTAGCAAGGCAACAATACAGAAAAAACTTCAAATTGAATATAAAATTACCAACTGCACTAGAGAAGGCCTTCAAAACTGCAGTTGGTGATGAAAATGGACCAAACGTAATGACAGGATATGACGAAGGGGCAACAAATTGTATTATTGAATCTTTCCTCAGATCAATCTGCAATAATACAGATTTTTTAACCGTTATAATAGCAATCACAGGTGAGATATCTGAAGATCGTAACTTCAAGGACGAATTGTTGAAGTACCTCACAACGCAGGGATGTGTCAGCAAGGACACCTAGTGCCTGCCCATTTGGAAGAATGGCTAGCACCCATGGATGTGCTTGGTACAAAGATGTAGTTCCAGCACCATAACCATATGCATCTGTATTCCAAGTGAAAATCTACAAGGGAGGGAACTGCTAAAATCAAGAAGCATTAACCAACTAATATCAAGCATACCAAATTATTAACTTACCCTTTTCCCCGTTCGCTCAAGCTGTCCACTAACTTCCCCAGTTCCATAAAAGGAGGTGCCAGCAGGAAGCTGTAGAAGTCAAGTTTGTCAAACTAGTATACTAGAAGAAGATATGAACATAACACTATAAGAATGATACAGTGACTTTTCCGATAACTGCCAGAGACCAAAAAACAAAGGCTAAATTACAAAAAATACCCTGAACTTCGCCCTGGACTTTTGAGGCTAAATTAACCTCTGTTTCAAAGATACCACTGTCATTTCAAAAGTTTTAATACTACCCTTTGACCTTTCAACATTTCAAAAATATCTTTTGAGCAAACATTCGTTAATTTATTTTGAACGGAAGTCGACGTGCCAGAATCTGAAACAACGTGACAATTAACATCTCAATTTTGCCCTAAAAATCTTCTCCCCTTGTAAAGAGAGTTGCTTCGCCAATGTCTACCCAATTTTTGCCCTTATCCCCCTTTTATAAACGGCAGTTCTTTCCACATTTCTTCTCTTTTCAAACTTAATCCTAGCAAGCTTCCGCGTTAATTGTCACTTTGTTCTAGATTCTGTCATGTCAACTTTCCATTCAAAATATTAACGGATGTTTACCATTTTTGAAACGCTTATGAAGTATTGAAACTATTGAAAGGATAAGGGTATTTTTCAAATATAGGGCAAAGTTCAGGGTTTTTTTTGTAATTTAGCCAAGAACAAATGATAATATTTATACAAAAACAGACCTCCAGTTTAACAATCTGCTGGCCAAGAAGACACTCAAAAACAGGAACATATGTAGGAAGCTTTTGGCTAGAAATTGGCGTGTCTCTGTCCTCGGATCTTAAGAAAGAAAAACTCGGGTAAGCCGCAGCTCGATCATGTGAAGAACAATCAAATCGAAAAACCCCATCCTCCAGAATAGGCTCAAAAATCATATTCCCTGAGATAGTATCTGTTGTGATTCCTCTCTCTTTTCCGTCCGCCATTTTACACGTAAAACTTCCAGAAATCAACTTCTGATTGATCTTCTTTCTCCTGCATCCCACAGAGAGGGAAAAAAAAAAGAACAAAAACATTCAGATAGTTAAGCCTCCTTGATCAAGTACCCACACTTTGGAATCACAATATCACCATGGTAATTAAAATTGAGAATAATTTGCTCATGGTTAACCGCATAACATTCAGAATCTTTAACAGAACTTAAAAAATCGAAAGAAACAGCTCAATTTTGTAGACCAAGATTTGCCACACCATACAAAAAGAAAACTAAAAAAGGATGTCTATGAGAAACTGAATTTCAAGGATCAGAGTCTATAAATAGCAGAATCTTATTTCTGAAATCACACAGACTGTTAGAACTTTCTCCTTCCTCAGAGCTAATAGACTACATTGAAATAGCAACTTCCAATCCAAAAAGTTTCCGAAGTACCCAAAAAATGTAATCAAATTGAGACAGCCTTTTCTCCATTAAATCCTCAGAATAGAAAAAAGAAACCCATCGAAATCCAAAGTAAAGAGAGAAGAAAAAAAAAACCTGGGAAGAGGAAGATGAAGCTTCTTCAAATCCCGAGGAGGAACACCGGATACTGTTGTAGCAGAAAAATTAGATAGAAAATTGGGAGTCCGATTAAGGCGAGGAATATATCCCCATGCTCCACCCACTAGGCCACTCGATACTGATGCTTCTTCCATCGTTTTCCAACTCTTTAACTTTTAATATTATTTTCCAAAAAGTATGAACAGCCCTCATCATAATTTTTGAAGATTAAATAAGTAGTGAAGTTTCTCTGAATCTACGTCTTTTCAGTGTCACATGTTGCTGCTGCCCTTGTGTTTGTTTCAGCTTCTGCAATGGCCAAGAAGTGAGAAATGGCAGAGATTCACCATTGCGTTCATAAGGATTAATTAACAAATTCAATTCCAGTAGTTCTATGAAATGGGTTAATTTCTCTTTTTCACTTCAAGACATCAGGAAAGAGAATCAGTGGTGGATGTGGTGTGGGGGCGGGAATTTCTTCTAGAATTGTGTTGGAGTGGCAGCGGGTCCAAGTGCAATTCGTGGCCGGACATGTCTGTCATTTTTTTACAGTGAAAAGAAAAAAAATTCGACAAAATATTGAAAACAAAAAAAATAGCAGTGATATATCCCTCGTATTAATATTAATCATTTTTAACTTATTTAAAAATAAAAAAAATATTTATCCGTTAATTTAAATATTTTTACGAATTTATAATTTCTCTCACTTTTATAGAAATTTCTATGACACGGACGTTTTATCGATATTTTCATGAAATTGAGACCCGGGTATTTTCATTAACATCAATATTTAAAATCTTGAGTCCAAGAGAGCTCGAGAATTTCATGCCTAGAAAATTTCTTTTTTTGGTTTTTATTAGGTTTAAATACTACTTAAATTTCTATATTGTATTGATAGAACTATGACTTGCTCATAACTGTGAAAAGGGAAAAAATACTAGTTAGATCACGTTGGATTGCTCTTGCTATTTTTTTTCCCAACATGGAGTTCATTCCTCACAAAAGTATACGCAATCTTGATGCAACTTAACTAAGTTCTGCTTGATATTAGCTCATACTTAAGTACCAACTTAACTTTAAAGTGTACGTTTTTTTAGTACTATACCACAGTAAGGTTCTACGTTGGATAAAAATCGATTTGTCATCTCATTCATAATCCTCCATAAATCAAATGCATAAAAGAAAAAAAGAAGGGTTTCTTTTCTAATTTTTTTTTTTTTTAAAAAAGAGTTGTCAACTGTTGAAAAAGACTTACCAACCAATCATTGTTGATATTATTAAATAAATAGCCTCCAAAAGTTCTAAAATAATAGATTCTTCGTTAAGAATCAAAAACAAAACTTTTTTTCTTGTAAATTCAAAGGAAAGATACCCATCGCCCCACTTGCGGAAGATTCGTGCCTTTTTTGTTTGACTTTGTGCTGCATCTTGCAGAATCCTGCATCAATTTTATCGCAAAACCTAAAAATTTTAACTCTTATGAAATGGGAAGAAATGACAACACACAGAAGTTCGAGATAGATCCAATCATGGCTCGAGTCAAAAAAATTTATGTCGATGTAGTGTAAATTTAGTTTAAGCTAAATTATGAATTACTCTTTTAAACTTTGAAAAATTGAAATAAATTTCTAAACTTTATAAAATAATTTAATGTCCATAATCTTCCAACGTTGTGTCTAATAACTTTCAAAGCATCTAACAATTTTTTGGTAAAAATTTAAGTATTTATTAGTGGTTAACTTCTTATAGCCAAAAACACCAAAGTTTTATCGGTAAATTTTATGACATTTCAATTATGAATTTAATAGAGATCTATAAGTTATCAATCCAAATAAAATTGAAACTTTAAAGATTTATTAGATATGCCATTAAGATTGTGAAATCAAACTTGACTCGCTGACTCGGTAATAATTACCACGTATCTCAAACTAAACTAAGAGCCGGCTCTGAGTTGGATCATTTAAAAAGGGACTTCCGAATAAACGAAGAAAGATATTTCAAAATCTCAATAATACATTGTCCAAAGACTTTTCTCACTTCTTCTTCTTGTTCTTCAAAGTTGTGGTGTGTAGCAGCAGCAGAGATTGTGAAGCTTTTGCGGTGGTTTCATCAGCCATGGCTGCTCCGATCTCAAAGTGCCCGCCGTTCGAGTTCGCCGGCGAATACTACAGCGCGGCGGCAGCCGGCTGCGTGCGGCGGAGCAGCTTCTTCGACGACAGGGCTGTTCTTGATCAGGGCGTTGGATACTCTGTTATTCTTGGCTTTGGTGCTTTTTTCGCCGTCTTCACTTCTTTTCTGGTCAGCTTCCTCTCTGAGTCTTCTCCTTTCAGCTCTGATCGGTCCTTGGAATTTTAGTATGCAATATAGTTTCCTAGTTTTAAATTTCCAACAATTTAATTCCTAAATTTTAGCATATAAAGATTAAGTCTTCGCTCTCAGCTAAATGGAGGAAGTATTGTGTCCTCTTAGTCACCTTGACCAATCACGTATTGATCCATCTAGTAATTGCTTTGATCCGTTACACATCAGCTGAAAAGTAGTCGTTTCCTTTGTGAGCTTCAGACAAGGGCCAGCAAGTCTTCTCCGAAAAAACTCTCGCAGTTCTACATCTTAATATAAATATACTATTTTTAAGATACAAACTTTGTAGTTAGATCCAATTCAAGACTAAAATAATATTTCATTATCCACGTGAGTATGAGTATAATTCAGCTGTAAATGACATCTACTCCTTTTTTTTTAATGGATGGTTAAACTTTAGGTATGGTTGGAGAATCAGTACATAGGGAGTCGACATACGTCTGAATGGTTCAACACAGCGGGCAGGAGCGTCAAGACAGGCCTCATTGCCAGTGTCATAGTCTCTCAGGTAAATATCCATTTCTTTTTTTCTCTGGATTTCATATTTGAATTTAGAGCCGTTGGGTTTTCTGAATTAATGGTTTTTTTTTTTTTTTGTGTTTTTGTTGTGAAGTGGACATGGGCTGCAACCATCTTACAGAGTTCTAATGTTGCTTGGGAGTATGGAGTTAGTGGACCATTCTGGTATGCTAGTGGGGCTACCATTCAGGCAAGTTCGCCTCTCCCGAATGTCTATTTAATTTCTAAACTTTAACAAGATTTCAGTTACATCCTTGAACTTTATCACTATCGTTAATATCATGACTCAAATGTTATATAAGGGTTGTTGGCCAAAAAGTTCAATTTAAACTATTTTATCTAGATGGTTTACTCTCCATGTCACTTCGTACTGAACCATCATATGTTAATCTAATTGGTATGTCATTTCAACATTTAAGTCACAAAAATAACAATAAGGATGGTGTATGGAATCAAAATCAAAAGTTTGTGGACATAATTAAGACTTTCTAACGTTGGGAGGTTAGGTAGAAATATCTGTCAAGATTTAACCATTTTTACATTTTGGGTTTCACTTCCAAGAAAACAATTTCTAAGTTTCCATGATCAAAATTGTAAAAGGAAACACAATTACCAGTCAAGCTTCAAGTTTCAAAGGGACTAATGGTGCAATGTATAACAAAGGAAACGAGTACATTTACAGACTAAGAAGCATGAACACTCCAATTTGGGTAACATATTTGTGTCGAACTCCGACACTTATATTAGTTCAATAAATGTGTGTCACACACTGATTGTACAAAGTAAATATAGATCTGAAACTTGTGAGGCATTGAACCCTTGTAAACATAAGAAATATACATAAATAGTAATATAGGACAAAGTACAAATTTTGAAAGCAAAACACATCAAACTCATTTTTCTAAGCATGAAAATGCATAAATTTATTGACTTTCAATTTTATTCTGGTATAAAAACAATATATATTTAAAAAATTGTATATTTTAATAAACATGCATTTGTTATGTCCATGTCCTAAAATTGTAGAAAATTACGTGTGTGAATGTATCCATGTTGTGTCATATTCGTGACTCGTATCCGTATCCGTGCTTCTTACTTTACAAATGATTCAGGTTCTTCTATTTGGAATAATGGCTATAGAGATCAAAAGGAAGGCCCCAAATGCTCATACCGTTTGTGAAATTGTAAAGGCTCGGTAAGTTGTGAAACTCCATCTCCTTTCCATGTTATTTTACAAGTTTTTATTCAGCTTCTGCGGCCATGCCTCTTATTTTAGCTACAATTCTTTGTGGTATCTATCAGTTGGGGAACGGCTGCACATATTGTCTTCCTTGTTTTCTGCTTCCTCACCAACATCATAGTAACAGCCATGTTGCTCCTCGGCGGTTCGGCCGTGGTTAACGCGCTCACCGGAGTGAACATTTTTGCTGCAAGCTTTCTGATACCGCTCGGAGTCATCGTTTATACACTGGCTGGAGGATTAAAAGCCACTTTCTTGGCCAGCTATATACATTCTGTGATAGGTATTCTATGGACTTCTGAAAAACTTGAAAAGTGCTTCTAACCAGTTAAAAGCACTTTTCAAAGTTTTCGTGGTATTCGGTTCCATAGTAAAAAACGAGTTTAAAAACTCTAAAAACACTTTAAAAAAGCTATTAATCTCAGCCTGTTGTTTTGGCTGCAGTTCATGTGGTTTTGGTCATATTTGTGTTCCTAGTTTATACATCAAGCAGCCGGCTAGGGAGCCCCAGTGTTGTGTATAATCGTTTGATGGAGGTAGCAAGCAAATCCAGAATATGCCATGAACCAATTTCCCACATTGGCCAATCTTGTGGCCCTGTTGCTGGAAACTACAAAGGCTCTTATGCAACAATGTTGAGTTCCGGAGGGCTCGTTTTCGGGATTATTAATATCGTAGGCAACTTCGGTACTGTTTTCGTTGACAATGTGAGCAGCTTTAAGTTCGACAATGTTTAATTATCTCGAATGTATTCCGACTTAGGAAATGGCTCTCTGTTTGATCTAAGTTTCCCATATGATGCAAATTTCAGGGATATTGGATGAGTGCAATAGCTGCAAGACCCTCATCAACTCACAAGGGATATTTGGTGGGAGGCTTGGTCTGGTTTGCAGTTCCATTCTCTTTAGCAACTTCCCTCGGTCTTGGAGCGCTCGCCCTTGATTTACCGATTACTGCACAGGAGGCTAGTCGGGGACTCGTGCCTCCTGCCACGGCTATAGCGTTGATGGGGAAAGGAGGATCTATTCTTCTCCTTATCATGCTTTTTATGTAAGTTAGAAGAAGATATTCAATTAGAACTAACATTGATGGATATGATTCCTTTAATCTTAATGAACAGGGCTGTAACTTCTGCTGGTTCATCCGAGTTAATAAGCATATCATCCTTGTGCACGTACGATATCTACCGAACGTACGTAAACCCTGACGCGAGCGGAAAAAGCATCCTGAGAGTATCAAGAGCTGTTATTCTAGTGTTTGGATGTTTAATGGGACTGTTGGCCATACTTCTAAACAAGGCAGGAGTTTCATTAGGATGGATGTACCTTGCCATGGGAGTGCTGATTGGCTCAGCAGTTCTTCCTATTGCTTTCATGCTCCTGTGGAGTAAAGCGAATTCGATCGGAGCAATTCTAGGAACTACCATTGGATGTGTTCTAGGAATCGTTACGTGGGTCTCGGTCGCAAAGATCGAATATGGAAACGTTAACTTGGATACGACGGGTAGAAATGCACCTATGCTTGCTGGAAATCTTGTATCTATACTCTCAGGTGGCGCTATTCACGTCATATTTAGCCTGGTGTGGCCTCAAAACTATGACTGGGAGAGCACTAGGGAGATTTCAATGGTTGAAAAGGACAAATCTGAACTTCCATCCGAAGAATACAAAGAGGAAAAATTGATCAGGGCAAAAGTTTGGATAATGAAATGGGGTGTTGGATTTACCGTAGTAATTGTTATATTGTGGCCTCTTCTGTCTCTTCCAATAGGTAAATTTCTTTTACCTTGTCCATACTTTTGTTATACTTTTGGTGTTTGATCTTGTCTTCCTCCTCTTTGTGCAGGAGAGTTTAGTAAAGGATATTTCACACTTTGGGCAGTAATAGCAATAGCTTGGGGAACTATTGGTTCTGCTGTAATTATTTTCTTACCATTGATAGAAAGTTGGGAGACCATACAGAATGTGTTGCTTGGAATGTTTACAAACGATCGACTCGTCGAGAAGGTCGAAGAAATGAACCTGAAGTTGCATGCTTTAGTCTTGGCTCTACCTGAAGCAGAGAGAATTTACTTGCTCGAGAAGGAGAAGGCTAGGAAAAAGGATTTGTTAGATACAGATACACAGGCTCATCATGTTTAGGGACCTAAACAGCTCTAAATTTGTTCGAAAAGTTTGATATCTTTGGGCAGTCTCTGCATCCTTCCTTCCTTGTCACTAAACCGTCATTTAGGGACCTTAGATGATGATCCGAAAAAATCTCTCTTGTAATTTCAAAGGTTTTTCTGACTCATTTCAAGAAGGTTTAAATCACATTCGACCTAGATTCTTCTTAAGATTTTTTTTTTTTTTGTTGCCTGATTGATTTTGGTTCTTTTAACTTTTCAAAAAAGTAATCATACTCAGCCTCAAGTACATTATCTATTTATTAGAAACATTATTAAAAATGACAAATACTTTTTTAAGTTCGATAGCTAAAATAGACATTTTGAGAGTTAGAACCTACCAATGAGGAAAATAAAATGTTAAAAGTTCAAGGACTTAAATGAAATGAAATAGAGTTAAAAGATTGAAATAAAATCATAGAACTTCCAAGTAAAAAATGAGACTTAAACCGAGTTGATTTCACTAGTTCTTTTGTCTCACAAACAATGTTTAAGTACTTAATCCGTCAACACCCATTTTTGAGTTGACCACCAATTAGCTTTTTAATTTTTTGAAAAATAAAAAAAAATTATATATATATATTTACCCTCCATTCCTCTCTTACTGGTTAAGAAATTTATATCGATAAGCACATAAGTATTTTTCTATCAGGACGATAGCTACCTGGATTTCGTTAAAACGTGAGAGGAATCTGCAAAATGTGACAGTAATAGACTAATAGTACTTGCACATAGTTCCTTGTGGCATAATTTAGATAGATAAATACGATGATTAAAGTAGTAAACTTAAACAAAGATTATTTCAACATGATTGTCCATACAGATATTCGAGATGTGCTCATCAGCTACTAGCAGCTGCCTCTTGCAACTGTTTCACCTTGGTGATATAGTCGTTCATAGCATCATCCTTGGATTTTGCTGCAAAAAATATTAAATTCTCTTCAATCAATGTCATTCTGGTACATCTTTAATCCGATAGAATTAATTGCACTGCAGAAAGCATATCTTAAATGTCATCACAAGAATAGAAAAACATCCATTTCATACTTCATAGAGCTGAATCCATTAATGTCCTATACTCAAAATATCACATGCCAAGCTCCCAAAGTGTAGAAACACCGATGTGAAAGGTGCTCTAGAAAATGGACACCGAGAATTGTAATGGGTTGCAAATAGTTTTGTCATATTTACAAATACAGCACAGGGAATTTTGTAGGGCGGACACCTCGTAGAGTGATAGACATTTATTAGTGCCTAGTAAATTTGAGATGTGTGGTTGAGTTGAGTCTTTTTGAAAATTATGTCATGTTTACTAATATTTTACCAATTATTTTGAGGCAGATTGCTACATGTGCAACCACCCTATAGAAGAACAAGCAAGAAATGTCTGTTCTAGTGTTTAAACATTCTAAAAATTACCTTCAACGGCCTTCCAGGCATCCCATTTGGCTCTGTCTCTTTGGTTGAACAATCCAGGCCGGCCTACAATCAGTCATAATTGCAATAAATGGTTTAATTGGAGGATTTGACATCATAATTCCAACTATACACAGTTTTTTTCTTTAGAAATTGTATTCGAGCGGAAGCAAGAACTTACTGGTGTTAACAGGTCCAACAGTGGCTTGCTTGTATAGTCCATAGAGAATGAGTTTGTTTTCATTGCTTGTATTCTCCGGCAAGGTCTTTGCCTTCTCAGCATACTCCTCAAAATCCTCCTGCAGAATTCAGCCTCGTCAAGTTGTGACACAGACTACATGCTTTTAGTTCCATAGAACAGCACAAGGATATCATGTTCTTAAAATTCTCTGCACTGATTTCCCTAGCATCTAAAGTCCCGTTGTAAGCTAATCCAGAGATCATGCGCTACTTCAAGCAATCAATTTGGAAACAGCAAAAAGAAGGAAAAAAAATCGAGTCAGTAGGATAATAACTGCGAATTACTCTAATACGGTGTTCATGACACTTGATCCAACTCGCCATTTACTTAAAGTCATTGAGTAGTGTTACTCTCGTTGAACACTTGATCTAACTTGTCATTTACATGAAGAGGGCGGAGATGGCAAAGACCATGCCATTCCATTACCACACCTCCGATCTGAGTTCCAAGTTTCAACCTGACCTGACTGAGGCCGCCGTCACAGAACCGCCATGCACATTAAACAACCAAGAACAAGAAACACAAAGAGAACGAAGCCGTATAGTATTTATCCTTATAAGTTGCAAGGAGCAAAATCATGCCCCCATAGGTTTTCACGGCTAGCTATCTCGAAATGATCAGATGTTTTTCGAGAGGACTGCACAGATCCACTCAAAAAACAGATCCGAAATGATAAATCAAACAGAAAGCATCACAAAAAGGCTAACCAAATCTAACATACTGACAATGCGTGACTATGACGCTAAACTGAAAATATGCAACGATCTAGGGGAATTACTGAATCCAAAGTCAAGATCATCATAAAGAAAAACCTAAAACAGTATCGTTCAGCATCAAATCGCCGACTATAAACGAAGAATCCAAATAATGATCGAACAAGAAAATGACAGAGAGCGAGAGATTCGAAGTTCGTAAGCTAAAGAATTAGAGATTTGAGAAGAAGAATGAGAGAGAGAACATACCTTCAAACCCATAATCGCTCTGCTCTGTTGCTACGCTCGAAGCTCTTACAGTTTCGAAGTGTTATCTGGGAAGAAGAAGAACGACGGGTATGGAGCGTATAAATACTCGAGCGAGAGAAGAGGGTGGAAAATCGCCGAGTAATTATCTTCTGAAAGGCCAAAAATCGCCGAGTGGGCAATGGGCCCCGCCGCGTGGGCATATCCTCCCGACTAGCTACGAGTAAGCGCGGAATAATCACGCAACCCCTTCGTGTCGTGGGGTCCATTATTTATTTATTATGTCGATGATCTCTAAGCATTGGAATTTCTGAAATCCAACCTTGTGATCTCGCCACCTGTCATGTGGTCCCCACCTTGGAAACTTACAAAAATATGTTCCAGTTCAATTACAAAATATAGTGAGAGATAATTTTAAAACTACTCATTTTCTTTTCAAAAATTTCAATGTTATTTTCGATTTTATAAAATATCTTTGGAGTAAATATGCCTTAATATTTTTATATATCAACTTTCGTATTAATTACGTGGATATTCTAGATTTTCGTTCAAAATATTAACTGATGTTTGCTGAAATAATATTTTTTCTAATGGTAAAAGTAGTATTGGAACTTTTGAAACAAAAGATATACTTTTTAAACAAATCACACAGTTTACAGGATCCGACCATCTACAAATGTTTGTTGTTAAAAAAATGTACATACAAATGAAGTTAGTAAAAGGGTAAGAAAATTTTGACAATCTATAAAACAACTAACAAAGCTAGATACTACTCAATAACTAAAAGAACCAATAGATACGAAGTATATAAACTAATATATGAGATAATGTAAATAAAAAATGGTAAGTACGATGATATATAAAAAAGAGTAAGATTTAGGTATGATTAATTACATTGTATATTAAAGGTAAGCACAATAATATATAAAAAAGAGTAAGATTGAGGGATGATTTGTATATTAAATTTTTAGTAAATAGAAACTTATATGTAGTACAAAATATCAATAAAGTAATTTAATTAAAACTAAGGATAAATATACATTAAATGTATTGAAAATTAAGGAAAATAATTAAAAAATGGCAGGGAAAAAATTATGACAACATATTTTTTAATTGATATGTTGTAGAAAAAATTGTACTCTTATGGATTTTGGTGAATAGAAAAATAGGATAATAAGATATCGAAGATAATAAAATTGAGAATCAGCGTGAACTTAGATCAGTGGTAATTAGTGTTTGTCTCTAACCAATAGGTCATGTGTTTGAATCTTTAAAAGTTGAAAATAATAATAAAGTAATTTATATTATAATTTATGCTAAATATGCAATAAATATGTTGAAAAAAAAACACCAAAAATCAAAAGAAAAAATCACATACAAGATTGAAAGAAAAATTAAGAAAATTCAAAACTTTAAAATGAAGTGAAAATAAATATAATTTTAAAAGACAAACGAATTAAATATATTTATTCATTATGTATAGTATCAATACAAGTGTTAAAAAAATCCAAAACAAAGACTAACGAGTTTCAGTTTCCGCAAGCACCCACGCCAAATAATAAAGGGCACATATGATATTTAATAAAATATGAATGATAAGTTTGTCTAAGCTACGTTTATTCCATATCCCCATTTTTGTGTGTGTGTGTGTGTGTATATATATATATATAATATTGATTAGAGATAATAATGTCTTTTTGCGTAATAATATAACAATATTAAAAATACAATGAGACATTTTAGTTTTATCTTTGAATATGATGTAACAAATGAAGGGTGTCTGATCAATCAAACAAAAAAAAACAAATGAGGGGTAAGGAAATGGAAATTTCAGATATAAATCAAACAGATAATATCTGACTGTTTTAGAAACTTATTTACATTAATGTCTAAAATTTTCTAATTTTATACTTTACTGTAAGATTTTTTTATAATAGTTGTTTATTGCCTTTATATTTATTATTGTTAAATTTTTTTGTTGCAATCTAAAATATTTAAATCCTAAATTGTTTAATTATTGTGGCCTATATCAATTTTAACTTGATCCCTTGATTCACTCATTCTACTGTATTAATTCTACTGTATTAATTAAAAAAGATTATGATGCTTTCAATTTCTAAATTAATTAAGAGGTAGATTTATCCATGATTTCAAATTCAAAATAGTTGGAAATATACCCATGATTTTCTGTCCCTTTCATTTCTTCCCACGATCTTCCAACATCAATTTTTCCCACGTTTTATAATACTAAAGCGAAGTTTTGCATCTGCTCACTTTTAAAAAAAATATTGTTCTGCTCACGTTTTTCTTCTTTTCACGGTTTACTGCGGCTCAAAACATTCTATATGGTTGCTACTTTAATTTTTTTTTGGTGAGAAGAAGGTTATCCACATGCTTTCCTTTGGTTGGTGATTGTAGAATATAGAAGGATTCCTTTTAGTTTTTTTTTTTTTTTGGTGAGAATAAGTTCTTTGCTGCTCGATGTTATCTGGATAGAATATAGAAGTATTCCTTTAGTTTTTTTTTTATCTTGCAATTTGGTATTTAATAATAGATATAAAATATATTCGGATATAATATTTAATTATTGAAGTTTTAATCTCATATCAACTTTCATAGTGTAGATATATATTATATCTGCATATAACATTAACCTATTCTATCAATTTAGACACCCTAACACATGCTTCATTATTATAAATTGCTCTTATTAACATTAATCTAGCAAATGCAATCCAATCCAATATAATTACAAGATAAACCTATATGCTAAATATAAAATATATCCGACTATTGAGTTCTTATAACTACCAAAATGGTACCTAGTTTTAGATATATGTTATATCCGCATATATAGAGGAATTCACACCTAATTTTCGCACCACTCAAATTATATTTGAATCTTTCTCAATAATGGACTATTTATATTGGGTATGGACAATATATGGATATGGAAAATATACCCTTATGAAATCCTAGATTCTTTTTTAATAGAGTAACCGAAATCGAAGACTAAACAAACCTTCACTTTGACGGGCATCCAACAACGACAATGGAGAAACCGGTCTTCTACGAACTGCACGATTTGCTGCAGGATAAACTAAGTTAACGACCGACAACGAGAACGGAATGGCTTTACGCGACAGCCTATTGTAGACTATTACAGGACAATAAACGGAGAAAACGACCGGAAAGAATGATGTTTGGGAAAAAAGGAGAAATCGATGGAAGAAGAAACGGGCGGAATAACGAGAAACCTAAGGAGTAAATAAATAAACCGTATGATTATTTGGGTATTTTTATCTTTGGAAAGTCTAAATGGGCATAAAATAAAATAAGAGATTTAAAATCTAACCTACCAAATAAACCATTTTGATTTTCATAAATTTATTAATATTTAGAGGTAAATAAAGAAGGATATAAAGGTAAATTGTTGATGGATACCATGGCTATTTTATAACAAAAGTGTAAAATTTTCTACATCCAATCATTTTATGTAATTATAATATTTAAATAGGCTATCTACTACTGATCCTTAAATTAAAAAAAAAAAAGGTAGATTATGAAAATGGGCTTTATAGTCGAAGCATAAGGCCCATGGATAAAGCCCACTAACTGGCGCTATTGAAGGCCCACCGTGAAGGTTATAAATAGCCAGAGTCACACACGATCGTGGTCAACGCAAATGGCTAAATCGCTACCGGCGAAACGAAACGAAGCGATCAACTTCGCAATTCCTTCCTCTTCAAGAAACGGTGATCTGAGTTTTTTCATTTCAATTTTGGCATCGAATCCGAGTTTCATCATCTTCCTTTTCTTCTCCTTTGAATCGTTTTCTCGCTAGTCAAATCTTTTCGAATTTTGTTGAATTATCATTATCATTGTCGTTGCAGTATTGAACTGGTTTTGACTTTTTACTAGAGGTGTTCGAAAATTCGTTCAAATCGTTGCGTTGGGATCTGTTCAATTATAAGTTCGTTTGAACCAGTTTCAGTTCATTAAGTTGAGGTTATATAGATTTGAGAACTTGTATTTAAAAAAAGTCTTAACAATTTTGATCGAAGTCTGGAATCTGATAGAGACTTGAGACAAATTGTGTTTAAAAAAAGTCTTAAAAATTTTGATCCAAGTCTGGAATCTGATAGATCTGATAACAAAATTGTGTTTAAAAAAGAGTCCTAAAAATTTTGATCGAAGTCTGGAATCTGATCGAGGATAGGATTCAAGATGGATATCGAGATAGTTTACAGACAAATTTATTTTTGAGGTTCATACATTCATATGTTTGACATTTAAAAAAAAAAAAAGGAATTAAAAATAAAATTTACCAATTCAAAAAGCATTAGGCATGCATGATGAAAATGAAATTAAGAGACTGTTACCAACAGCAGTTTAGATCCAGATAAAACAGAAACAACTCAATCGATTCTACAGATCCAGATAAAACAGAGCTCAAAAACAACAAATCTCTCTCTCACTCTTTTTTTTCTTTTTCTTTTTCCTTTTTTTGGTGCGATGAAAAATAAAAATCAATCTCAACGGAATTTACAGTCTGTTACCACAAAAACAACAGATCAATCTTAAACTGAACAATCCTCTCACCATCATTTACAATTACAGTAGATCCGCTTGGCCGTTCACTGAATCGACGGCGGCGGCGGCGGAGGAGGAGATATGCGATCATCCTCCGATCCAGAGCTATAAGTTCTGTAATAGTACCTCAACTGTAAAGAAATTTGCCTCTCCAAGCTCAATTGACGGCGGAAAGCGTCGATGAAGATTTGAGATCGATTATCGACATCATCTGGATCAACATATTCATAGCTTGAAGTGGAAGCAGGTACCGCGGTCACGGAGACGGAAGGATCCTCCATAATTCCCTCGTCTTCCAATAACGAGCTCTGGATCTGAGCGAAGCAGAGGATGAGGTGGAAGTGGAGCATCGCCTTGAGTTTCCTCAAAGCCTTCTTCAACTTCCGGCGGAACGCCATTGCCAATTTCTTCTCTCCCATTTTTCCTCTGTTTCGAACTCTCAAATCAAATGAAAACGGAAGCCAACGTTTTGAAGCGCGAAACGAAGACGCTCGTTTTTATACTACACTGTACACAAATCGAATCCTTAATATTAATTTATTCCGTTTTGTTAATTTTAAATTCAACTTCATCCATTCAAATTATGACACGTCATCAGTGGAGGAAGACATCTCCGAGAGATCGGACGGCTGACATTGTTGCATGCGTGCGGAGAACGTTGGAGAGCAAAATCCAACCGTTGGAGATGTTTGGTTAAATTATTTCTGAAATTTCTGTAATCGCCACCGTGTCCTCAAACCAACCATTGATCATTTTTCTATCAAATCACAACCCTTAGATACCAAACTTATCACACCCAGTAATTGTCTATAATCAATCGCAACCACTCGATTTCAAATGGATTAGATCTGAACCGTTGAAAAGTGTAAGCTAATAAAAATTAGGTTAAAATATTATTTTAGTTCTTGTAATTTCAAACTTGATTAGTACTTTCAAAAAATTCATTTTTGTCCCTATACCTTTTAACTTTGGTCATTTAAGTCTCTATACTTTCAAATGGTTCATTTTGATTCTTCTATTTTTAAAATGTAATTATTTTAATTAGTCCATATTTGTAAGCTTTTAACACATAATGAAACATTTAATGATTACATTTTAAGGAGTACATTGAATGTAGTATCGTATTCAAATTCTAAAAGAAAAATGATAATAAAAGTAAAATTAAGGGACCAAAATGATCACTTTTTCAAATTATAGCGACCAAAACAAACATTTTAAATGTACATAGAATATAATGAACTAAAGTTTGAAAGTATGATGATTAAAATGAACATTTTGAAATTATGCTCATAATTTAATTCTTTAAATTACTAGTACTAATACATAAAAAATAATTAAACTAGGTATATTTGTTATAATTAAAATATTAATTAATTGAGATTACGAAATTCTAGTACTTAACACGCAAAAAAATAATTAATACTAAGAGAAATTAGATTGTTTATACAAAAATCTAGAAGTTTGAACCGATAGATTATCAAAGTAAGTTCTATGAATTTTAATTGCTTACTAGATATCCTTAAATATCCAATACTGCTACAATCTACATAATTGAAATTCTATTATAAAATAGTTTCCAGTTAAGGGTAATTTCATAAAAAAAAAAAAAAAAAAACGTTACAAGAGATTTTCTGATATTTTTCAAAAGTGAAAGTTATTGGGCTATTTATTAAAACTGTATATTTTAAATGGTTATGGATTTATTTTTTTTAATATTGTTGAATTGAAACTAATTTTTAAAATAGTGCTGCCTTCAAACTATTTAAAAAAAGAATGCTTCAAAAAATCTTCTCCCACCATTTGAGTACCTTTAAGAGGTGCAGTGCTGTTAGGGTCCCCGATCAACAACAAGGGATAGCTTAAGAGGTACTACCGCATACACCAGCACTGATAAATGAATAAAGAGGTGAAAATGTCATTTCCTATAATATTCGTGACAGAATCATTTCTTAACATGTCAAAAGAGATCATGCTATACAATGCTACGACATGTATGTTAGATTGTCTCTTAAGAGACTATCCAGTGGTAGATAATTTTTTGAAATATTATTTTTTAAATAGTTTGAAAGGTAGCATTATTTTGAAAATTAGTTTCAAATTTAATAGTATTAAAAAAATAAAAAATTATGGAGATGGGCTTTATAGTCCAAGGCATAGCCCACAAGTTGGTGGGTCTTCTTCTCTCTGAGCCCACCGCTGTTTCAATCAACTTTCCGACGCGCGGTGGTCAACGAAAAAGGAGCGGCGCTACCGGCGGAACGATCAACTTCACGCTGCGTCCAGAATCGGTGATCTGAAATTTTTAGTTTCGATTTTGGCATCGAATCCTTCGTCTCCAACTCCGGTCCATAGATAACTGGTCAGGTGTTCGAAAAATTCGTTCAAATCGTTTGGTTCTGTTCAATTATAAGTTTGTTTAAACCATTTTGAGTTCAATTAAGTTGAAGTTGCATAGGTTAGTAGAGAGATTTGAAAATAAAATTGTATTTAGGAAAAAAAAAAGGTCTTCAATGTTTTGACTGAAATGATACCTTGTTCATCTTGGTACAGATTTAAGTATTAAGATTTGAGTTTTGATCGAGGTTAAAGATCAAGGATGGACAGACAATTTATATTTTAGTAGTTTTCTTTTCGAGTTCATACTTCATGCAAATGGTTGCCATTTGAAAATAAGGAATAAACAATAAATTTCATCAACAAGAGAAGAAAAAAAACATAGGGCTACAGAAAAAAGATGATAGGCATGATGAAAGCGAAATTAAGACTGTTAACAATAACAGATCCAAATAAAACAGAACAATTTAATCCATTACGAATTTGACCTAACTTTCAGATTTGAATGTGTATTGTACACAGTTACAATTTGCTAAGAGCAAAAACAGAGCTGGAAAACAACAGCCTTATGATCTTTGGTAAAGAAAGGGAAGATTGGAGCGATGAATGATAGGGAAGAACTTCCATGCCCCACGAGCAGGCAAAATACAACAAATCAAACTTACAGAAATTTGCAGTCTCTTCCGAATTCTCCGGTTTCTCTTCAACTGAACAAATCCTCACTCCATCGCTGTACTCAACAACACGAGAATCCGTTTCGATTTAAGAAGAAATTCGTTCACTGAATCGACGAACACGGCGGCGGCGGCGGCGATCTCTCTTCGTCCTCTGTTCCAGAACTGTTTATTCTGTAGTACCGCAACTGCAAAGAAATTTGCCTCTCTAACCTCAATCGACGAAGGAAATTATCGATGAAAATCTGAGATCGCTTATCGACATCATCTTCGGCATTTCCATATCTTAAACTGGAAGCACGTTCAAGCCTTCTCATGGAACAATTTTCCCCAATTTCTTCATCTTCCAAGAAACTCCGCAGCCCTACCGTCCGATCGCTGAAACTGAATGATCGCAGCCGTCCGGAAGGTCGCCGGCGAGCGAGGCAGAGGCTGAGGTTGAGGCGGAGCAATGCAGTGATTTTCCTCACTGCCTTCTTCAATCGGGGCATCAATGGCGATTTCTTCTCTGCCATTTTTCTCTGTGTTTGGAGGCGAAAATTACAAAGAGCGAATGGACGAGGCTCCATCTATTTATACTAAAAAATCCACCAAATTTCTGTCCAATCAAATTAGAACACGTCATGCTTAAATCAAAATGTGAACATGGAGTCGAGAGTTTTTGAGGGAGGGAAAAGATGTAGGAGAATTCTTAGACAAGACATGCAGAAATTCCCCTATTATTTTTTGTTTTTACAAGTATTTTCGTCACAAATAAAAATTAGATTAAATCATAATGTTTCCAAATAAAATAAAACTATAGGTTAAATTATCTGGGGAAAATGACAGAAAATGTTCTAACCAAACTATCTAATTTCAGAAAATTTGCTAATTCTTTCTGTATTTACTCACTCCATTTACATTATAATTTTTGATCAAAAACAGTATCAATTAAAACTAAGTTCATGCTGGCATTCAAACTCTAAATTCTTATTTTTAAATCAATATTTAATGATGTTGGACTCTACATCATGCATCAAAAATAAATAAATGGAAATAATATAAAAACTACTTAAATAATTAAAATATATTGTTTAAAAAATAATTAATCATTTTACTATCGATTTAATGTTATTATAATATATATAAAAAATAAGTATTTTTAGGTTTAAAACCTATTTAGTTTTTAAACTTTTAAGATTATTCAGCTTGTAATGTTTTAAAATATTTATCTATTATGATTTGTGAACTTTAAAGTAATAATAATAGATAATGTAATTTTAAATATGTGTATTACGTGCCCATATAATTAATAGTTGATTAAAATAATTATTGTGGGGGCAAAATTAGGTCGCAAAAATTATCACAACCGGAAATTTTAAGGGTTAAAATAGGCATCAAAATAATAATAATTTTATAATTCAAAAATTAAATTACGAAACATTCTAAACATTAAAATAACAAAAAAGATAGGATTGAAACTATTTTTTAATCACACTTGTTGTCTGTTGAGAAACCTGCATAGCAAATTACATTGCAGTTTCCTGGTGGTCAAAATGCTTGAGCGTTTGCTAGGATGACGGCACTGTGACATTTAAGATGAACTATTCTTTCGGGGCTGTGACGATTGCAGGTGACAGCCGCGCTTTCTATTTACAGAAACGTGTTTCTTCCGTTAGAAGAGATCCAAATACTTGCTGTGTAAGTAAGAACAAACTAAGCGGCGCCAACGGCAACTGTGGAATATATATATATATAAATATATAATATAGTCCTTAATATTCATATCATTTATGTAACTTGAAATTTTTTTTACCGTCATTAAATTAAATTACTAACGCGTTAAATTATCATAGTATTGTAATTTTTTACCATTCATGTTAGTATTGTAATTTTAATGCATTAATCATCTCAAGTTATTTTGGGCTGGATTAATTATCATAGTAGTTAGATATTAACCTTTTTTTTTTTACAATAAATGGTGAAAGACATCTGACTAACGCATTAAAGTTAACTCTCGCTAATTAAACCTTGAGTTATGATCGGTTTGTTACCTTGGATTTTGAAGGAATTCAAAATCGTGACCGATTTCAAATGAATTTCACTGTTTGGTACCACATGATTTTTCAGATTTCACCTCCTATTTTTACTTGAGAAAATTTGGTCGGATTTTGCAGGATTTCATAGAATTTCGAAGTAAGTCACCTATTTAACCTCGTCATAATTTAATTTCTAATTAATAAATTTAAATTAAAAACCCAAATCAATAAAATTTTTATTTTATTTTTATTTCCAGCGAATATCCAAACAAAAAAATTTAATTTAATTCGTTTCAAATCATTCTCGATCCAAACAAGATAAACAATTTAAAATCATTTCTCGAATTTCAAATCACGGAATTTAAAATCATTTTTTCGGGTTGCTGTTGTTCTCACAACGTGGTCAGTGATGGTGTTATGTTGTCTTCCAGTGTGGGAGAAGCTTAGGTCGAAATATTGATCTTTCTAATGAAGTTTGCAATTTCTGTCATGTCTTCGATGTTAGTTACTATTGGTTCTGATTCAGCTTGTATTTGGTATGTGATTTTTACTCTCCAACTCTTTTAATGCTTTGATTAGAGCGAGAACTTCCAAGATATTGAATAGAAGTTTATAATTTGTAATACTGCCATAACCAAGAATCTACTGGAAGCTCTCACGACAACCCAAGTCGTTGTAGAGGTTGATGACTCGAGGGCATAACGTTGAGACGCTGTAAATAAACATAAAGAAAAAAAAAACGTGCAGATGCTTGGTGATGCTGCTGAATTCGTAACGTTAAGACACTCATGAGTCTGAGGTTTTTCGTTATACATATTAAGTTCTCATGTTATTACTTATCAAATATAACCAGAAAGTTAAATTGTTTGATTTATTTATGTTTTTCTTCTTTCAAAAATATATTAAATAAAAGCATTTTCCATTTGAAATATTAACAAAAATTATCTTGTCGAAAAATCTCAAATTTATAATTGATATGAATAAACCTTCCTTAGTTGAAATTTGGAAAAAAAATATATTGGAATCTAGGTACACTAAAATTGTAGCTAAAAAATCAATATACAAAAATCCATTTTATACAACATCACATTTAAACCGAGCATACAGCAGTAATTGACATATTTATCCACATATTTATCCAGTATCTCCAAAATAATTAAACCCCAAACACCCCTGACAGTTTGCTAAAAGCAAAAACAGAGCTCTAAAACAAAAAATCAATCTTAATGAAATTTACACCAACAACAGGAGATTCATTTCAATCTAAAAAGAAACTCCACTGAATCTGCGATCCCTGTTCATCATCTGTTCCAGAGCTGCTATCTGTAGTAGTACCTCATGTTCAAAGAAATTTGCCTTTCTAACGTCGTTGGACAACTGGAGCGGTCGTCGGGAGTCTCAGATCGCTCGTCCACATCATTTTCAACATTTTCATTGCTTAAACTGGAAGCATGTTCAGGCCTTCTCACAGTTTCTTCATCTTCCAAGAAGGGCTGTTGCCGATAGCTATGACTGAATGACTGCAGCCGTCTGGGAGGTTGGGGGCGGGTGAGGCAGAGGGAGAGGATGAACTTGAGGAGGAATAATGCATTGAATTTCCTCAATGTCTTCTTCAGGTGGAACGCCAATGCCGATTTCTTCCCTGCTATTTTTCTCTGTTTTAGACTCTCAAATGGAAAGGAAGCGAAAAGGCGAAAGGAAGAGCCTGCCCTCAATTTATCTATCAAGGAAAAATCATTGAAAACGTTCCCACCAAACTATCTAATTTCAGGGAAGTTTCTGCAACTCCTATAGTATCTATTATAATCAATAAACAGGATTTTGCAAGTATAACAAGTTTATAGGGAGGACACGCTAGTAGTGTCTACAAGTTATAGACTATCAATGTCTAACAAGGTTGAAATATGTTAATATAATTCTGCCATATTTACTAAATTGTGCCATATGTTAATCTTTGTGAAAATTGGGAAGGTTGAAATATGTTCTGTGCTAATGTTTAAACATTCTAAAAAAACTACCTTCAACAGGCTTCCAGGCATCCCATTTGAATATTTTGTCTCTCTGGTTGAACATTGCAGGTCGGCCTACAAATCAGTCATAATTGCAATAAACGGTTTAATTTGAGGATTTGACATCATAATTCCAACTATACACAGTTTTTCTTTAGAAATTGTATTCGAGCAAAAGAAAGAACTTACTGGTGTTCACAGGTCCTACAGTAGCTTGCTCGTATAGTCCATAGACATCGCGTTCGATTTCATTGCTTGTATTCTCCGGCGAGGTCTTTGCCTTCTCAGCATACTCCTCAAAATCCTCCTGCACAACTCAGCCTCGTCAAGTTATGGCACAGAACACATGCTTTTAGTTCTATAGAACTGTTTGATATTTTAGGGACTTTGTTTTTATTCTTTTATTTGTTATTTCACTTTACTCTTTTAAGATTTCAATCCACTCCCTTATAAAAGGGGCAGCATAGAATTTTTTTCCCACAACAGTTTTTATAAATCAAAAGAGTCTGTTATTTAGTATTTGATCTCGAGCATACAAGCAATCAGGTATTCCTAAGAGAACCAATAACTTAGTGCAGTGAATTAGTTTCCCACAACAGTTTTTATAAATCAAAAGAGTATGTTCTTTAGTATTTGATCTTGAGCAATCATAGATTCCTAAGAGAACCAAATAACTCAGTGCAGTGGAGGCACTACTGACCATTCTTATCTCATTGATTTACTGTTGTTTTATTAAATTAACTATTTGTATGGATTATTTGAGAAATTCCAACAAGAACAGCCCAAAAATATCATGCTCTTAAAATTCTCTGCACCGATTTCCCTCGGATATAAAGTCCCGATAAAAGCTAATCCATAGATCATGCGCAACTTGAAGCAATTAATTTGGAAACAGCAAAAAGAACCAAAAAATCGAGTCCGCCAGCTAATAACTGCGAAATTACTTTTAATACGGTGTTCCACGATACTTGATCTAAATCGCCATTTACTGAAAGCGATTGAGTAGTATTACTCTCGTTGGAACACCAGTTTTGCTATAACATTTCACTTTTTCCCGGAAAAAAATGATGAAGAGCGTAGATGGCAAAGACCATGCCATTACCACACCTCCGATCTAAGTTTCAACCTGATCTGATTATGGCCGTCGTCACAGTACCGCCACGCAATTTAAACAACGAAGAACAGAAAACAGAGAGAGAAGGAAGCAGGCCGTAGAACATGATCAGAATTCAGATGGACTCAAAAAACAGATCCGAAGAGATAAATCAAACAGAAAACATCACAAAAAGGCCAACCAAATCTAACATACTGACAAGACGATGCGTGACTATGACGGTAAACAAAATATGCAGCGATCTAGAGGAATTCCTGAATCCAACGTCAAGATCATCCCCAAGAAAAACGTAAAACATTATCGTTCAGCATCGAATTGCAGACTATAAACGCAGAATCCGAGTAACGATCGAACAAGAGAACGGCCAAAGAGCGAGATATTATAATTAAAGATTCGAGAAGAAGAACGAGAGAGAGAACATGCCTTCAAGCCCATAATCGCTCTGCTCTGTTGCCACGCTCGAAATCGAAGCTACCTGTGCTGTGAAAGGCGGGTATCGAGCATATAAATAGGGGGTGGAAGAGGGGAAATCGCCGAGTAATTATCTTCCAAAAGGTAAAAGATCGCCGAGTGGGCATATTACTCGCGATTAGCTACGGGCGCGAAATAGTCCCGCGACCGTTCGTAGGGTCCATTACTTATTTATTATGTCAACCATATAGCGTGTAGTACCCTACTCGGCTACTCCTCCTAAGCGTTGTAATTTCGAAGTTTGATCTTAGGATCTTGCCACCTGTCACGTCGTCTCCACCCTGAAAACTTCATCCATAAAATCTTGTTCTAGTCGAATTTAATATAAAAAGAGCTCAATAAATGGTTTTCGATTTAGAATCTTTGTTTAAACTATATCAATTCAAGTTTGTCAATCATTTAAAAAATATCCATACTCAACCATTAACCTTTTATAAATATTTTTAAAATATCAACAAATATTTCTTAATATTTTGGAGCAATAGTTGATGTGGCAAAATCTAAAGCTACTAAAAAAATTAGAATAAAAATGAGAATGATGAAAAATTGCATGGACAACGAAGTAAACTCTTTTGATAAAAATAAGACTTTTGCGTTCAAAATATTTTACGAATCTTTATTCCTATGGTATTTTTTAAATGCTTATAAAATGTTAATGATAATGTTAAAACCTAAAATAATAGGGTTATTTTTTAAAACAAATGAAGTTCATGGGTATATATATATATATTTTTTTTTTGTAATAAGCCTTTTTTTTTAATCTTTTTAGAATGAGAAAGATTTGAATGAATGTAACTGAATTTTTTTTTTTAATCAAGAATGTAACTGAATTTCTTTATTTTAACTTTCGTTGGAATAAAATAAAATAAAAATTTTACTAATATAGGTTTTTAGTTTTCCTTTGTTGATGATTAAAGTGTTAAAATATAACAAAAAAATATAATAATTTACTTTATTTGAAAAAAGCAACCCCTCGCACCCACGTAAAAAAACTAGTAATGGCTTATTAATATATATATATATATATATATATATATATATATATCATTACAAGAATGTATTTGTTTAAATTGAAAAATTTTATATACAACGTGCAAACACATGCTAAAATACTAATAAATCCTAAAAAAATCAATTTTTTGTTGAAGAAAACTATTTACGTAAAAATATGATTTAAAATTACATAACCTCAAATCATTTTATTCATGTGATAACAAATAACAAAAATCATTTGAAATTATCGGTATCTTTAAATTTTAATTACATATTGTGGGCGACATAAAACAACATTTCACGTAGTAGGAGAAGAGAGATTATTGAGAATCAAGGTATAACTCCTCATACCTGGAAGCTGAGAAATGATACTTCAGTACCTCAATTTAAGGTTCCAAACTTCCAAAATTAATAAAGGTAGAGTTGAGGTCAATCATAAAATCGTTATTCAACCGCCAACTCACCACCACCACTACAAGTTTCACGCTAGAAATCTCGTCATATGCTAAGCGTTTGGTGAGTGGGATCCATCAATCAACGCCTATAAAATGCAGAAGTAACCCTCATGCTCATGTATCTGAATCTTATTACTCGCCAATAGCTCGAACCCTTACTTTACTTGAGCATAGTGTTTTCCTCTCTGTGCAGGTTCTCCTTACATTCTATCTTTCTTGTCTGTGCTCTCGAGTGATCAGAATTCAGCAGAAACATTTTCCTTTTCAATCCAAGACAAATGGTTAAAAACGTTTTAGATCAAACTATCCAATTTCCATAAAGTTTCTACTACTATTATAGTACCTACTCACTTCATTCCCACTATAAATTCGTCTTCATAAATCATTATTTAATATTGTTGGATTCTACCTCATCCACAAATAATTACAAATCATAATAAATAGAAGTAGTATACATACTACTATAGTACTAGAAATAATTAATTAATATCTTTTGACAATCTATTTAAAGTGTTACTAGAACCTGTAAAATAAATATTTTTAGGTTTAAATCATATTTTAGTGTTCGACTTCTAACATTATTTTCGTGACTATTTTAATTTATGAACTTTAAAATAATTATTATTTTTATTTTTATCACTAATTGGTAATGTAGTTTCAAATATATGTATTAAGTGCTCACATAGGTGTGTATTGGAATCACATGGTTAAGATGATTATTAAGGAGGTGAAAATTAGGTGACAAAAATTATAACAATAATTAAAATGGTTACTTTTGGTAAAATTTTGAGGACTAAAATAGGAATAAAATGGTTTTTTTTAATTCAAAATTTAAATTACAAAAAATTTTAAAAATTAGAAATAGAAAAAAAAAGGTATAAGATGTAGACTTGAAATATTATTTTATTTTTAATCACACTAGGATAACGGCTCTTTCAAATTTATATTTCTTCTGTAAGACCATTACCTATAATGTATCATAGATTGTTTTACTATTTTCTCCGCAACTATTTTTGGTTTAACTCTCATGTAGACAATTCAAAAATCATTACTGTCGTAACATAAATTTTTAAGGACTTGTTTGGTAATGTTTCCGTTTCTTATTTATTGACTCTAATAAATATAAATAAAAATATTATTTTATCATACTTGAATTTATGGATATTGGGACAATGTAATTCATTTTTCTTTATTAAAAATAAAGAAACTAAAACAAGAACGTTACCAAATGGGTCATAAATGACTAGCACTAACACACGTAAAATAATAATAGCAAAAACATTTATGGTCTCTTAAACATATTTTTGTTTCTGTTTTTAAAATACACAAAACCAAAACTTGTTTGGTAACAATTTTTAGTTTTTAGTTTTTAAAAAGAGAAAATTCACGAGTACGTAAATCTCTAAAATATCTACCTAGATTAATAGTAAATCGTTATTTCCATTTAAGTATGTTTTTTAACCGAATCTAAAGGGATGAAATGGGCTTTATAGGCAAGCAGAAGGCCCATTGATAGAGCCCAGTAGGCCCATCCTGAAAGATATAAAATCACCCACAAATTCATGGTGTTCTTAATACAATATACATCACGCCCAGTGGTGAACTCAAAAGGAGTGGCGAAACCCTCCATCTTCAGGAAAAGGTGATCTTAGTTGGTTTTTCATTTCAATTTCACCATCCAAATCCGAGCTTCCTCGTCTTCCTTTTCTCCTCCTTTTGATTGTTTCCTTTAGAATTTTACTTATTGGTGTTAAGTTTTCACGAGCAAATTAAATCATTGCGTTGGGATTTGTTGAATTATAAGTTTGTTGAAGTTGCACAGATTTGATCGTCTTGGTTGTGAAATAGAAGTATTAAGATTTGAGTTTTGATTGAGCTTAAAAATCAAGATGGATATCCAGATGGTTAATAGACAGTTTTTTTTTAATATGTAATATTCTTGGTGTTCATACTCGTACATATAAGTCTGTTATTTGGAAATAAGGAAGAAAAGTAAATTTCATATGTATGATTACCGACGGTACTTTGCAAAATACAAATACGGCAAAACTTGTACGAAAAATTAAGAGACAGTTACAAACAATAGATCAGAATAAAACAGAACTAACTCTCACCATTAAGAATTTTATATAACTTTCAGATGTCACAAAGGAATACAAAAAAACTTCTGATTTTTTTATTTTTATTTTTTTGGAAGGGAACAGATGCGTGATCCACAAGCTACACAGTAACAATTTGGTTAAAAAAAGGCAAAACCAAAGCTGGAAAATAACGGCCTTACTCCATCACTCTACTCATCAACATTCAACACACCGCACCAAAGCGAGCACAATTAAGGAGGGAGAATCCTTCCATTTCTCTTTAAAAATAAATCCGTTCTCACAGAATCCACGAACGCGGCGCCGGCGGAGATCCGTCTTCATCATCTGTGCCATAACTGCTACTTCTTTAGTAGTACCTCAGTCTCTGCGAGATCAGCCTTTCCAAGCACAATCCACGATGGAACTCATCGATGAAGTTCTGAGCTCGCTAGTCCACATCCTCTTCCACGATTTCGTAGGTTTGCCGCAACGAATCGTGGATGAAATCCTCATCCACGTCGTCTCCAACGACGCCGTAGGGCTGCGGCGGTGGCCTTGGCCTTGGCCTGACCGTGGGATCGGCAAGATCGGTGGATGGCAGCAGCCGGCGGGAAGCGAGGTGGAGGCGGAGCAACGCCTTGAGTTTCCTCAATGCCTTCTTCAGGCGCAGCACCGCTCTCCATCTCTTTGATCCCATTTCGATCGTCGCTGCGTTTGGAAACGTCGAACCCAACGGAGGCGCGTGCAATACAAACACCCAAACCAAGAGCGAGGAAAATTGCCTTTTTAATTTTTCCTTTTCTTTTCGAAAGCTGAATCTGTATTTATAATCGACGGGGCGGAGTGGATCGAAGAAGTAAGTGGCCTAATAGCAATACAAACGTAGCGGAATAAGGGCGTGGAGCGAGTAATTTTTAAAATAATCCGCTCATATTTCTTTATTCCATTTTGTTCATTTCTCATTCAAATTTCCTCCAATCAATTTACGCCACCTCATCATAATGGGCGAACGGAGGAGATTCGCGTCGAACCACCGTGGCCAAAAGATTAAAAAACATTAATTTTTAAAATATAGGTACAATTACAATTTACAACTGAGATCTGCTCTTTGGCACAACGCGTGAAAATCGGACGGCCCATATTTATCTCTCGTACTGCTGCGTGCCAAGAACAAATACCAACCGTCGGTTTTAGGACAAGTGGCGGTTATAGGAACTTTCACAAGTGGTCTTAAAAATATATACATATATAAAATGTGTAACAAACTTCATTTCTACCTGCGTCACACTAAATAATTGTCTTTAATTAATCACAACCATTCGATTTCAAACGCATTAGATCTGAACGGTTAAAAATGTATGCACAAAACTCTATTGTTTTTGGTTTTAAATAATATAATCCTTAATATTTATTTATTTCTTATTATTATTATCTTTTTAATACAGCATCATGCAAGGGTGGAAATTCGAACTCACGATATTTTTTGTCGTAGATAAATATCTTAACTAATTGAACTACATTCAAGTTGTCATGTAATTCTTGATATTCATATGACTTATGTAATTTCATGTATGATGATACGTAAATTTAAATGAATATTTTTCAGAAAGTCTACTCGTAAATGAATTAATCATGATTATTAATATCTCGTTTGATAACTATATTAGTTTTCTATTTTCAAGACTAAGCTTTGAAACATTATTTTAGATATATGTTTATTTGTTTTGTTATTATAATTTTTATAAACATTTTTAAAATCTAAATCAATTAATAAGAAAAGAAAAGTAACTTTAAAAAATGTGTGGTTTTTTAAATTTAGTTAAGAATTCAAATATGTTTTCAAGAGATGTGAAAAACTTACTGACGAAATTGTACGAAAACAAACATAATCTTTTTAAACATAAAACTAGAAACAAAATGATTTTCAAACGATACTTAAATCATTTCAGGTTATATTAGTTATTATAAACCATTTAAAATAGCTAAAGTCTCGTTTAATAACCCATTTATTTTTTGATTTATATTTTTTGAAATTAAGATATTAGTCAAATTTTGAAACCTTAGAAGAAAAAAATAGTTTATAAAACTTGTTTTTGTTTTTGAAATTTAGGTAACAATTCAAATTTGTTTTCAAAAGAGTCCAAAAACTTATCAATGAAATTGTACAAACAAGCCTAATTTCGAGTTATATTAGTTATGGCAATAGCTAAGATATTGTTTGATAACTCTTTTATTTTTATTTTAAGTTGGCCCGAACACTCAATTATTTAAAACGAAAAACACTCTAAAAAAATTGTAACTGAACCATATATCATTATATCAATGGTGGTCAAATACAAATTTTGAAAATTCCTAAATGGTAAAAAAAATTAGAACAAAATAGGTTTGAAATAGATGTCTATTTGATCCCTGAAATTTCGAAAGTTACGTACTTTCAATTCTTGAAGTTTGAAAAATATTTTAAAATGACCACGAAGTTAAATTACCTGTTAGTTGACTAATGGAAAAATGACAAGAGACGGTTGATGGGTTCGTTTTCAAATGAAGTGTCATATTTCTTCCCCTTCATCTTCCTTCTTCTTCTCCGGTGAAGCGTGCCGACGTCACCGCCCTTGTTTCAGATCTGGAATGTAATGGTTGCGATATGTGATGAGGTAGAATGGATGATAGCGACGATTTGTCATAGAGGGAAGGAGGAGAGTTCCAAATCTAAACGTTATTTTTTTTTTCAAATCTAAAGCGCAGATGGAGGCTTTGGCAGTGGGCGATGAGCAGCGAATGTTGGTGGTCGGTGGTAGCCGGCGACGGCACGTTTCACCAGAGAAGAAGAAGAAATATGAAGGGGATGGAGAAAAAGTCAAGGAAGAGAGAGAAAAAGTATAAGATTATTATAAAAATGAATGCATTTTTTGAGTTATTGATTTACGTGTATAATAAACTCTATTAAATCTTAAAATATAAATTACGATATAGACTAAACTATTATAAATTTTAAAATATAAGGACTAAATCGTTGTAAGGACAGTATTTAACTTGTTTTTTTTTTAATCAACGTTAGATATAGAAATGATACCTTTATCATATCTGGGTGAAACAGAAGTGTTGATATTTGAGTTTTTATCATGTCAAAGATTAAGATGGATATTGAGATAGTCAATAGATAATATTTTTTTTAAATTATAATTTCCTTAGTGTTCATACTCTTGGTGTACTAGAAAATACAACATTTTTGTTACCTGTATATATGTTAATTTGTTATTTGGAAATAAAGAAGAAAAGTAAATTTCATATGTATTTTACAAAATACATCCAAATTTCAATAGTACGAAAAATTAAGAAACCGTTACAAATAAACTTTACACAACGTTACACAACTTTCGGATGTCATGAAGGAACACAAAAAACTTCAAATATTTTCTTTTTCTTTTTCCTTTTTTTTGATTTTTTTGATTTTTTGATTTTTTGATTTTTGAAATGGAACAGATGCGTAATCTACACTCTACACAGTAACAATTTGGTAAAAGCAAAAACAGAGCGAGAAAACAACGGCCTCACTCCATCACCGTACTCAACATTCAACAACACGAGAAGAAGAATCCCTTTCGATTTAAAAATAAATCCGATCACCGAATCGACGAACGCGGCGACGGCGGAGATCCGTCTTCATACTCCGTTTCAGAGCTGCTACTTCTGTAGTAGTACCTCAATTGCCGAGAAATCTGTCTTTCTAACCACAATCGACTACGGAAATCATCGATGAATTTCTGAGCTCGCTCATCCACATCGTCTTCAACAATTTCGTAGCTCTGCGTCATCGGCGGCCGCGAATCATCGACATCGTATTCAATAATTCCGTAGCTCGGCGGCGGCGGCGGCGGCGGCGGCGGTGGCGGTAGTGGCTGCGGCGGCGGCACTGGCCTAGGCCTCACCGTCCGATCGCCAAAAGCGGATGACCGGAGCCGGTGGGAAGGTAGGCGGCGAGCGAGGTGGAGGCGGAGCAACACCGTGAATTTCCTCAATACCTTCTTCAGGCGGAACAGCGCTCCCCATTTCTTCTCTCCCATTTTTCTCTGCGTTTGGAAACGTCAAATCGAATGGAGCAGAATATAACAAGACGCGCTATTTATAAGTGTTGTGTACACATTTCTCTATTCCATTTTGTTCATTGTATATTCAGCTTCATCCACGACACCTCATCTAAATGGACGCCAAGGGAAAATCGGACGGCCCTAATTTATTTCTCATACCGTGCGTGCCCGGAACATCCCAACCGTTCGCTTCAGGACACGTGGCGGTTATAGAAACTTCAGAACTAATCTTAAAATATATACATATACGAAATATGTACCAAACTTAATTTGTACCTGCATCACACTCAATAACTGTTTTAATTAATCACAATCACTCGATTTAAAACGGATTAGATCTGGACCGTTAAAAATATATGCTCAGAGAAATTATAATGCAATTACCTAATCCAATAAATTCATCACATCACACAAATCTCATGTCACTAAATTTAAATTTTTGTCCCTAAAGGTTGAACACATATTTATTTAGCATAGATTATTTAGAGAACTTAATTACACAAATAACTAAAATAGAGTACGGAGAAGACTGCGAGAAAATTATCAAACTATTCATATTCATATATTTTTTATAAATAAATAAAGAAATTACAAATAAATAAAAAAAAACAATTTAAGGTACCTCCAATATTATATGATTTTTACACCCCATTTTTTTAGACGAAAAAAAAACCAATAAGCCCCTCCTTCCTCCTCTAACAACAGTCCCTGGTGTTATATGTAGCTTTACATATCATTTGTTGTTATACTCCGTTGGTAAAGTCTATAAATATATACTGTACAGTACTTTATAATTTACCAATGAATAAATCAGATTTCACAAGATTGTGAAATATTTCATGGTATCAGAGCAGCGAACGATATTTCTCTGATCTCCACGAGTCGTTCTTTGAACTTCACGCGTCATTCATTGGGCTTTTATTTTCTTGAAAAGAAAAAAAAAGTGGATTCTTCTTCTTCAAGCGGAACCTCACAAAATCGAAGTTCCTCCATTGGCGATCTGAACTCTCCAATTTTCTTGTTGTCGAACATCTGCAACCTAATTTCTATTCGATCAGATTCTTCGAACTATGTCCTCTGGAAATTTCAACTTTCTGCAATTCTCAAGGCTCACAAGCTTTTTGGCTTCATCGATGGAACTGTTCCTCTTCCAAGTCGATATCTACTGGTTGAATCTTCCGATTCTACTCCACCGCAACTCAATCCGGCCTTTGATGATTGGATTGCAAAAGATCAAGCTCTAATGACCTTAATCAATGCCGCACTCGCCTACATTGTTGGCAGCGGAACTTCGAAAGAGGTATGGGAGGTTCTTGAAAAGCATTATTCGTCAAGTAGCAGAACGAATATAGTTAATCTCAAGACAGATTTGCAGACAATATCCAAGAAACCTGGTGAGTCAATCAGTGAGTATGTAAAACGTATTAAAGAAGTTAAAGAAAAACTTGCAAACGTCTCTGTTATAATCAATGAAGAGGATCGGTTGATATACACTTTGAATGGGTTACCTACTGAATACAGTACGTTTCGGACATCGATGAGAACTCGTTCTCATCCAATCTCTTTCGAAGAATTACATGTATTGTTATTGTCCGAAGAATCTGCCATTGGAAAACAGGATAAGCGCGATGAACCTTTTCCACAGCCCTCCGCAATGATTGCTTCTTCTCAGCAACGCAATTTTCGTGGAAAATCATTTGCTCCTGGTCAATTTCGTGGTAGATCGACTCATGGACATACTGGTCGAGGTAGAATCTCCTCTAATGGAACTAACAATTCAGGAGGACATCGAGGCCGTAATCCTACCGGTTTTCCTTTCACCCCTATACGAACCAGTGGCACAAATGATGGCAGAATTTTGTGCCAAATCTGTAATCGACCTGGGCATACAGCTATTGATTGTTATAACCGCATGAACTATAATTACCAAGACAGGCATCCTCCACAGCAACTTGCAGCCATGGTTGCTTCACAAAATCAGCAGTTCGCTTCTGGTTTACCTGCTTTTCAATCAACACCCTGGCTTGTTGATTCAGGGTGCAATACACATGTGACTGTTGACTTAAATCACTTGTTTGTTGCATCTGAATACAATGGAGAAGATCAAGTATCGGTCGGTAGTGGACAGTCACTTCCAATTACCCATTCAGGTTGCGGAGTTCTTCAAACTCCTTCCTCTTCCCTATCTCTTCTCAAATTATTCCATGTTCCAAGTATTGCTGCCAATTTATTATCAGTTCATCAACTTTGTACTGATAACAATTGTCTTCTTATTTTTGACTCTACTCATTTCACAATACAGGACAAAGTCTCGGGTCACATCCTTTTCCAAGGACCTAGTGTCAATGGTCTATACCCTATCGCACCATCTGATAGTTCATCTCCTTCAAGTGCCTTCCTTGCATCAAATGGACCCGTTGCTCATGTCAACACTAAGTCTTTCTCCTCCATGTGGCATAACCGGTTAGGGCACCCAGGTTCTGATATTCTTCATTCTGTTATGAAGCTCTTAAATTTACCTTGTTCTCGTTCAGTTAAATGTGTCTGTGAACACTGTCTACATGGCAAAATGATAAAATTGCCTTTTCCTCGTTCTACTTCTTTTTCATTGTATCCTCTTGAAATAATACATTTTGATGTATGGGGCCCTGCCCCTGAACCTTCTATTTATGGTTACAAATATTATGTTTCTTTTGTGGATGACATGTCCCGATATACTTGGTTTTTTCCACTTAAAATCTAATGTGTTTCATATATTTGTCAAGTTCAAACCTTTAGTTGAAAACATACTAAACTCCCATATCAAGACTTTTCGTAGTGACGGTGGGGGAGAATTTGTTAATCATCATTTTAACTCTCTGTTAAATATTCATGGCATTCTCCACCAAAAATCATGTGCCTACACCCCTGAACAAAATGGTGTGGCCGAACGAAAACACCGACATATTGTAGAAATGGCCTTATCCTTAATTTCCACATCCTCTCTGCCTCTCAAATTTTGGCCCTATGCTTTTGCCACAGCTGTTTTCCTTATTAATCGTCTTCCTTCTTCCATTCTAGGTGGTAAATCTCCTTTTGAATGTCTTTATAATCGGCTACCGGATTACTCACATCTTCGTACCTTTGGTTGTGCCTGTTACCCTCTTCTTAAACCCTATCATTCTCATAAACTCCAGCCAAAAACATCTCGGTGTGTCTTTCTTGGTTATCCCTTGGATTACAAAGGCTATATGTGTTATGACATGAGTAATGCCAAAATCTATACCACTCGCCATGTTATTTTTTACGAAACTTTTTTTCCTTTTTCCAATTCACCTGTGCCCTCCTCTTCTTCTTCTCCATTATCTTCACCTTCTTCTTCATCTTCTTCTGTTCTTTCTTTATTACCCTATTTTTTGTCATCTCCTTCTTCCAATACTTCTGATTCACCTACAATTGCACCCACTACTGCCTCGGTTCTTCATCCTCCTCTTTATTCTAATGCAATAGCTGGTGGTGATGGTTCAAATGGTGTTAATTGCCCATTGGATACAACAGATCATTCTAATACTACATTTCATTGTCCAAGTGATCCTTCTCATGTCAATGATGGTCATGCACATGGTACATCACCTACTACTGATATTATGTGTACTATCCCTGCAAGTGAACCTCTTTCCACGGCTGATGACTTGTCAAATCAGTCTACTGTACCTGTTATCTTTGATACATCTATCAATGCAACAGGACTCGGTTTTAATGAAGCTTCTATTCCTGTTATGCCCTTTGTTCATAACAGTCACCCTATGCAAACAAGGGGTAAATCTGGCATCTCCAAGAAAAAGGTTTTTCATGTATCTGTTCCTCCAGATGACTCCGTTGAACCAACTTCCTTTGCCAAAGCCTCCACAATTTTGGTATGGCAGCAAGCTATGGTTCATGAATACAAAGCATTGGTTAAACAAAATACATGGCACCTCACTCCTCTTCCTCCGGGCAAGAGTGCTATTGGCTGCAAATGGGTGTATCGTGTAAAACGACATCCCGATGGTAGCATCGCCCGTTACAAAGCTCGTTTGGTGGCAAAAGGGTATCATCAAGAGGAAGGTGTGGATTATGAGGAGACATTTAGTCCAGTAGTAAAGAAACCCACAGTTCGAATTATTCTCTCATTGGCTTCTCAGTTCGATTGGTCCCTTAGGCAACTTGACGTTAAAAATGCCTTTCTTCATGGGGATCTTCGTGAGGAAGTTTATATGCAACAACCTTAGGGCTTCATTGACAAACAATTCCCAAACTATGTCTGTCATCTTAAGAAGTCTCTATATGGCCTCAAACAAGCTCCTCGAGCTTGGTTTGAGTGTTTCACCTCTCACTTATTAACTCTGGGTTTCGTTGCCTCTACAGCCGATTCATCTCTTTTTATACGGCGTACGACTGACTCCATCTCCTATCTCCTCTTATATGTTGACGATATTATTGTTACTGGAAGCTCCACCTCCTATATTGACTCTCTAGTCACTCAGCTCCGTTCATCGTTCGACATGACTGATCTGGGTACGTTGAAATATTTTCTTGGCCTTGAGATTAACAGAACAATAAATGGTATTGCAGTTCATCAAACAAAGTATGCTCGTGACTTACTTCTTCGCTTTGGTATGCTTTCTGCTAAGTCCTGTAAAACACCACTTGTTTTGAAGTCTTCTAAAGATGAATCTGCTTCTTGTTCTTTAGAAGATGCTCGTCATTACAGGTCTATAATTGGTGCACTACATTATTTGACGTTTACACGTCCTGATCTTGCCTTTCCTGTTAGTCGATTATCTCAATTTATGCAGTCTCCATCTCTTGATCAATTATCTGCTGCTAAGCGAGTTCTTCGTTATGTTAATGGTACTTTGAATACTAGTTTATTGTTTCGCAAGAGTTATTCTGATCCTTTATGTTTGACTGCATTTTCTGACTCCGATTGGGCTGGTGACTCCATAGATCGACGCTCTACTTCTGGTTATATTGTTTTCTTGGGACAAAATCCTATTTCATGGGTTGCTAAGAAACAGTCTACAGTCTCACGGAGTTCTACAGAGGCTGAATGCCGGTCATTAGCTTCCACTGCAGCTGAATTGTTTTGGCTACGACAACTTCTCCGGGATCTTCATATTTTTGGTACCAAACCTCCCGTGCTTTGGTGTGATAACTTGTCTGCTATACACCTTGCTAAAAATCCGGTATTTCATGGACGCACAAAACATATTGAAATTGATTTTCACTAGGTACGAGAACGAGTTGTTCGGCAAGATATCTCACTGCGTTTTATTCCAACGGAGTCTCAGCTGGCTGATTTGTTCACAAAGCCGCTTACTGCTGCCCGATTATCTTCTCTTTTAGTTGGCTTTGTCTGCATTTGTTTGAGGGGGAATGTTATATGTAGCTTTACATATCATTTGTTATTCTGTTTGTGTACAGTTATAGGAGTTTTACTTTCTGTTATACTCCGTTGGTAAAGTCTATAAATATATACTGTCACCTGGTGAAGCAACCAAACCTCCTTCTCTGCAACCTTAAACCTTAAACCTCAGACCAACAACAAGGAGTATATTATTATGATACCTCGATAAGAAAAAAAAAAGGTATATATTATTATATAACCTACTAATTAGTTAGTATATAACAATGAAAAATTTACTACATTGTTTCATATTATGTCATGTTAATTTTTAAAATATTTTTAAAAGGTCAAAAGTAGTATCGAAACTCTTGAAACAAGACAATAAGTTTAAAATATTTTTAAAAGGTCTATCGAAACTCTTGAAACAAGACAATGAGTTTTGGAATAAAGGTAAGAAACTAAAGAATTATTTTTAAAAAAAAATTAAAAATCAGAAAGAGAAGAACGTAAGTGATAAGAGCAGTGCTCTATTTTCATACAAGAACGAAGAACCCATAATACGAATAAGGGTTTCAAGAAAATATCAGAAAGAATATTTAGAAGAAAATATTTAAAGTACAGATTATATACGTGGCAACATATTACAGGCTACTTTGTCAAAATATTCCATCACAGATTCTGTTAGGGGAACGTTCTGGAACTTGTTGAGAAACTTAAGTAACAAATTAGGTAGTTTCCCGGTAGTCAGTTAGTCAACACGCTGTTTCTGCCGTAAGACGAGATCCAGAAGCTTGCTAGGCAAGAAAGAATTATCCATTCATTTCGGACGGGAATTGAGCAAGACATATAATATAACCCTTAATATTTATTTATTTATAGTTATTATTATTTTTAATATAACATCACGTCTCACGATTGGTATCTTAACTAGTTGAGTTAAGTTTGAGTTGTCATATGATCCTTAATATTTATTTATTTATAGTTATTATTATTTTTAATACAACATCACGTCTCACAATTGGTGTCATAATTAGTTGAGTTAAGTTTGAGTTGTCATATGATCCTTAATATTCATATAACTTATGCAATTTCATGTATGATGATACGTAAATTTAGATGAATATTTTTTACAAAATCTACTGGTAAACGAATTAATCGCAAATATTAATATCCCTGTTTAATAACTATTTGATTTATATTTTTTTGTTTTCAAGACAAAGTTTAGAAACATTTATGCTTCCAGATATTTGCTTCTTTTTTTTGTTATCATAGTTATTATAAACATTTTCAAAATCTAAGTCAACTTTTGAAAAGAAAAAAATTAATTTTCAAAAATTAATTTTGTTTTTGAAATTTGGTTAAGATTTCAAATATGGTTCTAACAGATGTGACAAATTTACTAATGAAATTGAAAAAAACATGCATAGTTTTCTAAAATAGAAAACAGAAAATTGAGTACGAAATAGCTAAGGTCTCATT